TTCCCTCTGAAAGAATTATTGCTCTCCAGTGCTCATATGAATCGATGCCTTCCTTCAGTCCATGCCTGGCCTTTATTGTCGTCAAAAATATGTAGAGCCACGAACAGCCTGTATCAGGCAGGCCTCTACCTACATTATTTCACCACGCCGCTGATGCATGAAGGACATGCAGTCCCAGGCCAGCCGAGCCATCACTTGTCTCTAAGGAGGTGACCGAGCAGTCACCATTTGCAACTTCTCCTTGGACAATGTTGGATTGCCTGAATTGAAGGTCACTTATGAAGTGGTGGATGGCTTGAGCTGATTACCAAATTCATGGGCATGACAATGTCAGAACTGCTGCCCGAACAGTGTCTCTTAACTTCATTTGTGCTGTTATGTATCGAGTTGGTTCACCTGCCGTTTCAAAGGTTGAAAGGGCGTTCTGGAATTAAGGAATCAATCATATAATGGAGATTTTAGTCATCAGTGGGAATGAAGCAGCTTCATTAAAGGAAAAGGGATGTTTGATAAACCAAGCCGGAAGTTGAGTGTCTATACGATACTGTCTCTCAAGCGGGGCAACTCGCTTCCCTCCACGGCAATTGGCAAAGAATGAGCATCTTTTTCTTTCCTGCCAATACCTCAAGAGCATTTCTGGTCTCAATGTTGAGCCAGTGTCTCTGTGATAAAGTACGAAATATCTATGAACTCAAGCGTACAACTCCTCGACATTGCAATCGAGCAGAGAGGTAGGGACGAGGAACCGAAGCCCATATTAAACGTCAGAAATGATTCAATATTTCAAGGCGTGCGTGCTATGGCTCTGACTTCTCAAGCGCGGGCCAGGAACTTGAAGCTGCCCAGGCCTACGCGACAGGAATGGCCGTTGAATCGAGCATGTAAATTTGAAGGGACATCACAAACCGGGCACAAAGTATGTACGAACCATGTAGAATTTCAGACAGGCTCTAAATCGGGTCTCGCTTTTTTTGCATCCTGTGTGCCGTTTTGCGAAGACCCCTGAAATGCCTGCTCACGCTGAGACAAACCAAGGACGCCCAAGGAACACCCATCTACCCACGCGGTGTTGCTACCCTATATCCACCTGATGAAACCCACCGAGTACGCATCACACGCTCTCTTGCTTCGCCTCTTACTTCAGTCATCATCGGTATACCTCGGCCCTGAAGCGGCAGGCGTCTCAGCAGCGCCGTATCCAGCTGGTGTGGGAGCAGAGTAGTACCCTCCGCTCGCTCCCGGCGTGGGTGCCGTCGTCAGGCCAGGTGTCGGCGCACTGTCAGCGCCCCAACCACCTTGCCAGGCTCCAGGTGTGGGTGCATTGAGCGCGCCAGGTGTAGGTGCATTGTATGCACCAGGCGTCGGCGCGTTGAGAGCTGCCGGCGTTGGCGCACCCAGGCCAGCTCCAGGTGTGGGCGCGTCGATCGCACCGGGGGTGTAGCCGGACGACCAGGGATCCGACGCTCCTGGAGTTGGTGCTGAGACGCCGTATCCAGGTGTCTTGGACCCCGCCCCCCAGGCTGATGAGTCACCGCCGCCGCTGCCTCCATACGCGGGGGTCTTGGAGCCGAGAGAGAAGCCGTCTGGTGCTGGAGTCTTTGCACCTGACGACCAGGCTGGTGTGCGTGAGCCAGCAGACCCGTAATTGCCGTATGCAGTCCGACTGCCGTCATAAGGATTGACAGTGCGGGAACCGTCGTTGCCACCACCCCAGGCAGGAGTGCGTCCGCCACTGCCTGCGCTCCACGCCGGTGTCCGGCCACCTATTGTCAAAGTTAGTGAGGGATTAGCAACATGATGATAGGGAATAAAGAATCTGACCTCCAGTGCCACCCCATGCAGGCGTTCGACCGCCCATGCCTGACGAGACTTGAGGTGTCCGACTGCCACTGCTGAAGCCAGTATCATATCCTCCACGTCCCGAGCCAAAGCCGCCTCCACGGCCGGCTTGGCCACCGCCTCTGCCGTTGATGTCAATGACCCGGCCTGTGACTTTGTCCTTGAAGAGCAAGTCAGCCTTCGGCACCGTGACGATTTTGCCCTTGGTATGCAGCTCGACACGAGCCTGCAAATCCGTGGTATCCTTGACGATTCCTAGCAAACCCTTGTAGCCACCCTTCCTGATCGTGACAGTCTGCCCGATAGATCGGTCACGACCAAAGTTCTGCTTGGGGGGAGGTGCCATGCTGCCATTGCTGCCGCCTTTGCGTTGGATGTCGGGGTTCATCTTGGTCAGATCGGGCCCAGCAGAGGCGACACGGCCACCCTTGGCAGCGACGGTTGTGATATTGCTTGTTTTCGTGACAAAGACACCGGCGTGCTCGCGGGACTCGTTGTTGTGCAACCAGACCCAGGATCGGTGTATGTGAATAATCTTGCCCTGCCGCTGCTGGCCGCCATACTCCTTGACTACATCGTCGTGTCGGATCTCGGAGCCATTGCGATCGGCGGCGACGAACAGCTTTCTCTTGGGGATAATGTTGGCAATCTGCGTCGGCCTGACTTGTCTCGTGTTGCCATCCTGGTCGAGAACAGTGAGGGTCTCTCGGTCCACCTTGACAACGACACCTACGGCAGTCGCGTCAAGCTGCACCAGGTCCAGCATCGAGTACTGACCCAAGGTACCGGTACCACCAGTGTCATCAGCCTCTCGAAGGTCCTTGCTAAAGACTGTGATGTGGGATTTCTCCCCGTCTGTGACGAAGGTGACCTTGTCCTCTTCGATGAACACGACAACACCGACCTCGTCCTGGTATCGGCTGCCACCAGTGACCTTGACGTGATCACCGACTCTGAACCGCTTCCGGACAGTCCTCGCAGGGACCTCGATCGACTGACCAGACAGCTCGCCATCGACAGCTTGCAGGGTGACAATCTCGCCTTGGACGTTGGTGACTCTCCCTATGAGACCCTTCTGTTCGCCCTTGAACACCTCAATAGTGTCGCCGGGCAAGTACGCGATGCTGGCATTGCTTTCCTTCAAGCTGGTGGCCAAAGCTGCCATGTCAAGATTCTGAGTGCCCTCATTCTTGTCCGTGACACTGAATCGCTCGATCTCCTCCAAGGTCGGGACGACATTCTTCGTGTCGAGGTTCTGCAGCTTGAACTCCTTAATGAGGAAGCCATTGTCAAACTGGTCGTTCTTGAAATACCAAGTGCCGGTTTTGGTACTGCCGCTGAGGTCCCTGGGAGCTCGCTTTCTGGCCTCAACCTCATTGAACAATCTGGGAGGCGGTCGCGGCACATTGAAGCCACGTTTTCTCTTGTTGTCGAATCCTCGTGGTGCCGCATTGTAGTCAATACGCGGAACCATTTTGACACGGCAGTTCAAGCCCGTCTCCTCAACCTCGATGATCTCAGCCAAATCGCCTTCGTACAACTTAGGCCGCCTGATGCGGACGAACGCGCCGGGCTCAAGCTTAACAGGCGGCAGGACGCGGAGGAGATCCGGCATCTCTTTGATCTCCACGAGGAACATTTTAGTCCGTGGGTAGACATCAAGTACGCCGTCGAGAGCCTTCTCCACGGGTTCCCTCTTCAAAGCCTCAACGTAAATGTAGCCCTTGGCAATCGACTCGATTCCAGCGCCCACTTGAGTACGCTCAAATGCAGAGATGATCCCAAGTTCATTGTCTGTGCCAATGGTCTCCTCAATCTTCTTCATGATGTTCATGACGACCTCGAACTCCTTGCCCTCCCTACACTTGACTGCCCAGATGGAGGGGTCATCAACGCTGGGCAGCAGGAGGCGCTTGGGGACGACAGTAGTATCACCCAGCCCACCTCTAGCGCCATAGGCATTCTTGCGACCGTAGTCCCGCTTCAATCGCTCTGCAACCTCCTCAGCGCCGACTTCCTCTTCCATCTGTTTACGGCGGTCGAGCTCTCGGTGGTATCGGTCGTCGACATCACCGGCCTCGGCGAGATCGTCTGGGTGCGAGGGGTCAATGAAGTCTCCTATCTCATTATTGTCCTCCTCATCCTCAACATCTTCGTCCTCATCCTCGACCTCGGCTTCGATATCGAAGAAGGCGCTGCGTGCGTCCTTCTTTCTGCGCTTGCGGCTGCGGGACTGTAGACATTGTTTTTTGTGTAAGTAAGCCTGCTTGGAGATGCGGTGCACGACAACAAGTCCAATCCAACTAAGCTGGGCGCAGCTTAGGGCACACAAAATGAGCCGCTACCAGTGATGCCAGCTGAAGAAGAGGTAAGGAGGGGGGGGGAGGAAGCATATTCTTTTGTCTACGTACCGGCATATCATCCTCGTCATCCTCGTCCTCATCCTCATCCTCGTCTTCATCGTCGTCATCATTGTCGTACTTGCGAGCCTTTGAGGGAGAAGCTTCATCGCCGTCTTCATCGTCCTCGGTGCCGTCGCGGTCCTCGCGGTCATTCGTCGAGCCCGCGTCGTCATCATCACGGCTGACGCTGCTGCGGCGGTGTCCGCCATTGCGAGACTCCACAGGAGACTCGGGCTCGTCGTCATCTCGATGGCGCTGGCGCTCGCGCTCGTCATCAGAGGCAACCTCAGGCGCAGGGTTGAAGTTGTCATCCTCCGACTCGGAGTCGTAGTGATGGGAAGACATCTCGTCGACGTTCCGCGGACGTTACTTGTTCAAAACCCGCGGGAAACGACGAGATGCGCAGGTTTCTTGGGTTCCTTGAGTAGTTTCCAAGATGAGAGAGAGGGGAGTAAGGAAAAAGAAAGGAAGGTGGGTGGAAGGCGAGTTGGAAGGTAAAAGAAAAGGAAAGCTGGTGCTGAGTTGAAGGTGAACTAAGTAAGTGATGGGCTTCCTAAGAAGCTAGCGGCTGGCACGTTGCTGCGAGGTTCTTTGAGAGGGGGCAGGGGTGTCTGCGGCGCTAGGCTGATGATGACTAAGTATGCAGGGGTCTATGACGGTAGAGAACTCAGAGTACGGGCATATGCTTGCGCAGTGCTAGACAATGGCAAGTTATTGCATCAACCAGATAACAATATCGAGTTAATGCGAAATATGTATGGGGTAGGAAACTAGCATTGTTTAATTGGTATCTTTTCTCGTACATTTTTTCCCCTTCATCGAACAAGGCAGCGGCCCTTCTATTTGTCGTCTCGCCGCAGTTCAAATCGCAGTGCTCCTCCAAAATGACTGTTTCACCCACCATCTCCGTCCCCCCAAGGTCAGCCTTCTTTGCAAAGGTATTCATATTAATATCGTCATCGTGCGCTCGTGATGCATCAAACGCCGTGGCTCGCCATGCAAAACAAGAAGCGCACTGAAAATCTGGACGTAGGGGTCTCCACGATTCTGCTGAGAATGCGTCACCACTCCATCAGCCACAGATTCTATGCGCATTTGAAGATGCCAACTTTTTTGTCGTTTTCTTCTTGTCCTCCCTTCAGACATGTCTCGAGCAAAATTAGGCCAATGGTTGCAGACCTGTTCCACTTCGTCCCAACAGTGTTCAGACTTGATATGGTAGTCAATCAATCGTCGCGAGACGTCCCAAGATCAGATCACATCCTAACACCCCAGATTCCACGACCAGCACTCACGCCCAGCCACTCCGAGGCCTCGTCGTTTGGTCGTCGAGGCACCCACCCAAGATTGCCTACTTCATAGTCACACTGCCAACTAGCGGCCGGACTGCGGACATTGTCCCCTTGAGAACTTCCGTTGGAGTGTGGCTGGTTCATGAGGTCCCAGATCAACACCTGACAGTCATCGCCTCCCGAGGCAAGCTGACCTCGCCGCGTGTGCGACCACTCTACACAGTTGACCGCGCCTCCATGACCGCGTAGCTCGAGCAGTGCCTGGCCCGGCTGCCTGGTGTCGAGGATCCGGATGACGTTTGAGTCTTGAGCAAAGGTGGCGAGAAGTTGCGTATCATGCGGGGATGTAGCCAACCGCAACAATGGAGGTGGATTGGACATGGTCTGCTGGGCCAGAGTTGGACTGATCTTCCCACCGTTTGGATCGACTTGTTGGGTGTCAGCTTTGCATGCCAGGCCACACTGCGCACTCAGGATCGCGAGACTTACCTCTGTCTTCTTTGCCCGTTGGTTCGTATATGATAGTGCTATGCTCTAAGCTTCTCAGGTCGAACATACGGACGCTGCCGTCTTGGCCACAACTGACAAAGACATCAATACTATTCGCACAGAACCGCACATCGTACACTTCTTTATCGTGTGCGATGAGCTGAGTCTTGGCCGTCAGAGAAGGAATGTCCCAGATCGTACAGGTCGTATCGATGCTGGAAGTGATGATCAGGCTGGGGGAGACTGTGTTCCAATCCAGCGACGTCAAGGGCGCGGTATGATCGGGCGTCTTCGAGTTGGACAAGAGTGCCAGTGGCGTAAGCTTGGTAGTGGCCACTTCTCGGTTACGGCCTGTTATAGAGTTGCCGGGAGTCGCCGATGTCTCAGAAGGAAGGGACCAAAGCCTCAGATGGTCGCCAGAAGTGGCGAGCAGATCAGTCGACTGCTTAGTGGTAGAGGGCGGCTCCCACAGCAGTCGCGTCACGGGGTAGGAGTGTGTGGCCTCGGCGATCTTGGTGAAGTCCATGCTCCATTTCGAGCCACCATGGTTGTTGTACACATCGGAGGGGGTAGGAACGATTTGGGTATCAAGAATTTGAATCTGCGAGCAGCATATCAGAACCTTGTTCAGCACCAAGCATCAAATGGCAGTGTTTCCTTTTTTGAGGGAGCCCAAGACTTACGAAATTGTGGCCGTCTTCCAAGTAGCTCCCAATCGCCACCTTGCCAGCACCATTGCCCTGGGGTGCCCACTTGCACCAGTCGAAGGCGTAGGATGTCCATGGTGCCATGTAGTTGCTGGTCCCAGGGGGCGCGTTCTGCGTGGGGAAGTCCACGCCGCTGGGCATACCATCTGACAAGCTCGAGTCCGCGCGGGGTCTGATATCTGCCAGGCCCAGGGGCGTGTGTGATATGTTTCTCTGCGAGCCTGGAGCATTGTAGTTTCGCTCAGTCGGTGACATGAACTGCGCAGAGCTGGGACCGGCACCGCTCGGTGTAGTTGGGGTGTAAGGGGAGAAGCCAGGGTTGGAACCATCGAAAGCTGCAGCTGGGCTCGAGCGGGAGTAGCTATGCGACAGACTCAGAGACGGTCTGTTTGGGCTCTGGTAGTCTTGCTGTTGAGATGGTGTTCCCTGCAATAACGAAGGGGTGGTGTTGGCACCTAGGGCTGCTGGTCTCGATAGAGGGCCACCAGGCTGAAGGACACTGGGAACAGCAGAGCCGCTCGTGTACGATGCAGGGGTATTCTGGTATGACGATGACCCGCCGCCCGGTGCCTGCTCCAACGTGATGTGAGGGCCGCCACTGGATGTTGGGTAGTCGCGCGGGGACAGAGGACCATGCTGCTGGTATTGGTTCGAGCCCTGCATGTGTTGCTGCGGTGGCTCGTCGCCATAGCCGGCAGTTCGCCGCTGAGGGGGGCCAGCGTACTGCTGTTGTTGTTGCGGTGGCTGGCTCATTGTGTCCTTGACAGTGGAGGAAGGGAAGGAGGGAGGTGAGGTCGAGCTGGATTCAGGATGGAGATAGGGAATCGAGGCGAAATCGTCGGTGGACGTGGGTATGGAGGGCAGATCGAAGATGGGCTTGGAGCCGAGAACCGACACTGGACCTGTATCCAAGTTTGTCGTACCTGCGCCTGCGTGTGATCTTAGTCCTGGCACAAGAGCATGAGGATGCGCTGTGGCGCGAGGATCTTGCTGACGGGAGGCGTGCGTCGAGGAGGACTGGTCGGAAGAGGAGGCCTTCGTGGCTGTGCGGTAGGGGAGTGAAACCTGAGGAGCTTGGGCTCGCGAAGACGAGGGAGAGGTGGAAGAGGAAGAAGAGAGCCCCGCCCGGTTGTTGTTGTCTTGGTTCTGCTGATGATAAGGAAACCACAACGACACGGCAGCAGAGGATGGTAGTCGCTGGCCTGAAAAGTTGATGCCACTGCTGAGACCGATGCCAGTGCCAGTGCCAGTGCCAGACACTGGTGGCAGACGCCGAGTATTCTCTGCCGTGGACGAGGTGGCTGGTGAGGAGTTGAAGTCTGGTCGATGTCGTGGTGGATGCCCAACTCCAAATCCAGAGCTGCGGGCGGCGGGCGAAAGTGGATGTGGTGGTGGTCCCTGCGGGCCTCTAGTCGGGTTGGGCAGTATTGTGCCTGGTCCTACTGAAGCTGGTGCTGTTGTTCCTGCTCCTGGTCCTACTACTCCTGGTCTTGCCTCAGGTGGATGATGCATGTGTGCTGTAGGCGCTGGTGAGGAGACCCCAGCGGCACCTAAGCACTGGCCGGCGGCGCTATTACCCCTGGAGCGTGGCGCCGTCTTGTTGCGAACAAGAGAATACTGGTCATTTCTTAGAAAGGAGGACATGCCTCTTGGGCTCTTTTCGTTTCTGATGGAACAGGAGGATGAAATCCCGGTCAGGATCGATAAATCTTATCAGAGAAAACAGGAAAAAGATGGGTGCAGGCAAGGAAGCGTATTGCATGAGACAGAACTCTTTTTTTCTTGTTTGAGTTCGTGAGGCATGTAGCATTAATTAATTCGACGTGGGCTGTGTTATCCCACAGTGCTTAGACCACCAGCCCAAACTGGCGCCAGTGAGCCGCGCGAGTGAACAGCGTATCAGATCTTGGCTGGCGTGCTTTGTGTTACTGTACTGAGATGCTGCTGTAAACGAGATTACTCACTGGCAGGTTCTCACTCAGACTGCTCAGCGGGGAATCGGCCCTCATCCCCAAGGTCACGTCACAAGGCCAACCTTCGTCTCTTCCTTTCTACCCTCTGTTCAGACTCTTCATTTTTATGACGACAGCACCTTTAGTTATATTATTGCTACGTATAATTTCTTTTGAGCCTCTCTACGCACACATTGGTGTGAATTCTGTTTTCTTCGCGATGGTCACTGTTCTGAGCAAGGTCATTTGAAGTCAAGAATAGGAAACAGCCCAGTCCGCCAAAGTGTCGGTAGTGTTCCTTCGAGAGTGCCCCGCCTCTCATACGATTTATTCCTTGCCCCTGCTTCAATCATCTGCCTCGGCTCGACAACCCTCACATCTCATTTGCACAATACACCTCACCTACCCTCAAGCCGACGACACAGTCACGGATCCAGTACGCAACATGACCCGAGACGACCTTCCCTCACTTCTGCTCCTCGCCGCCCCTCCAGAACCAGCAAGCCGGCCATCTCTGAGCGCGGCTTACAAACCGGCACTCACGGCTGCCCTCGCCAAATTAAAGGATGCGTCCAGATCACAGACCCTCGTTGTTGCGGTAGCATACCCCGTGCTGAGAGGTTCAGGTCTACGACACAAGACAATATCCTGGCCAGAAACACAACATATGCTTGCTGGTCTATACACCATCATTGCAGTTGTGTGCGCCGAGCTGAGTATACCGTCGTATATGAACGCTGGTCCGGGATCTGTCGATGCAAGGGTAGTTCTCATCGACCATGAGAAAAGACGGCGATACGGGCAAGGCTATCGCGCTGCTATCGAGCCCAACAACACCTCCATTGTGGATCTAGCCACGTTTGTGTCTGCATACCACCCGTGGAGATACATATTCAGCACCGACAGCGAAGCCGCCCATGAACTGCACTCACTTTACCTGAAACTGGCCGAAGGACAGCAGAAGCTGCTGCAGGAACAGCTCATTACCGTCAAAGGTGGAATCGCTCTCAAGGTACAGTCCACAGAAGAGCCAGCGCCTCCCTCTTCTCCAGAGACCAAGTCTTATAAGACTGTGTGCCTGGGCGGCACATTCGACCACCTCCACCCTGGACACAAGCTCCTCTTGACGGCTGGCGCTTACTTGCTGGATGTACCCGAGAAGGGCTCAGCCAACACCTGTACCTATGTGATCGGTATAACAGGTGATGAGCTCCTCAAGAAGAAGAAAGATGCTGAAGTGCTGGAACCCTGGGATGATAGAGCTCGAAATGTCATTCAGTTCCTATCTTCCATATTGGAGTTGTCTTCCGAAGGCTGGGCGAGAGTAGCGGCTCCAAAGGTCGAAGAAAAAGATGGCGACTTTGTGTCTACATTACGAGATGGAACGATCACAATCCAGTGTGTAAGAATACAAGACCCCTTTGGTCCGACCATAACGCAGGAGGATCTTGACTCCCTGGTGGTGTCTGCAGAGACGAGGTCTGGTGGACAGGCAGTCAACAATGAGAGGGCCAAACGTGGGTGGAAAGATCTCGAGGTTTTCGAGGTAGACGTCCTTGATGCTGGGGAGGTCTCTGACGCCCCTCCATCCACTCAAGACTTCTCGTCCAAGATCAGCAGCACAGCAATACGACGCCAGATTGCAGAGGCTATAGCTAGTCAATGAGGCCTTCAGAAGCTCCTTGATCATGGGGAAAATACATTTTGATGAATTTAAATCATGATGGCCAACCTGGACAGTTGATTATCGGATGTCAAGTGCACAACATCCACACGCCCATAGCAGGTTTTCTGACCTCTGACCCCTCTCATCCCTATAAAATGAGCAGCCCAAAGCTGAGTCAACACCACAGTGAGTGAATACACGAATGACTGTTCATTTTATCTGTGATAATCTTGGAGATGATGAAATCCATCTTTGTGAGCTGGGTACAATACATGAAAAAGAACACATGACCAGGGGGGCTGTCGTGTGTTCAACTAGGCCCTTGCCATCTGCAACAAGATTTCCTGGGACCAGTGTGCTACCTGGCGCCATAACAGCAGCTCAGCATTGGAGAGCAGCCGGACCAGGAGCAGTGTAGTTGGTCAAAACGGGGTAGTACTGCGGGTTTGCTGGTCAGCTGCTGTCTGCTAAGCCTTGACTACGAGAAATTTTGGTGCACTACAGGCAGGATACCTCATGGGAAGAGGACAGGGGGAATATGTATCAGAGAGTGTCTACTAGACAAAAATGAACATACGATGTTGATCAAAATTCCAGGATCTGTTGCTTTGTAGACTCCCGGAATCGAGACGAGCTCTGGCTGAGCAGTTCCAGATCCGCCCGAGATTGAGACCTGGGCACAACTCAGATAGAACTGTGCGCCCCCTACAGAGCTCGCGCTGTGGAGAGCAATGTGTTCGGCACGAAGCAGGTACTCGCCATTTTCGACGCAGGAAGGAATTGGGATGTTCACCGCGGTAAGACCTATACATTCTCAGAGCGTCAGTGAGGAAGAGAAAAGAAAAGTGAGCACCCCAGTCTCTTGCGTGTTACAATCTGGCGAGGTAGCAATGTTAACAACTCACCCTGCGAAGGCCATGTAGGCCCGCTTGCGCTGAAGGTGGGATGGTCTTGGTAGATTTTGAACCAGTTCGCCCCAGACCCATCGTAGGTTGCGGCCGTCTCCCCAGCTGGAACCTTGGCCAGCCACGCGCTGAACGACCCAGGGTGAGTAATACTGGTTTTGACGTTGTAGGCTACAGATGAGCCCGCTTGGATATCTACTGTCGTGGCGCCTTCGTTGCCAGGGGCAAGTTGATAGCATGTCATTTGGGAAGACGTGACGTCCGTAACAGGGCCATTGCTTTGGTAGTTGGTGGTTTTGCGAACGTTGGCCCAGTCAGCCTGAGCACATTCATCAGTGAATGACACGCAAAGTTTTGATATACTATCTTCTCTTTTCCATAGTGCCATTGTTGGGGATCCGACATACACCGGTGTTTATGGATGGCAAAACATCTGCAGCGAGCGTCAGTTACATAGCCACGAAGTCGGGATGACGAGCTTTCTGTAATTAATGTGATGAGTCTTCTGCTCACAGTGAGCTTCAGCACATGCAGCAACTGCTGCGATAGCAAGAGAAAGTCTCATGTTGAATGTCGAATACGCAAGCGAGACTATCAAATTTTGCTTGAGTTCTCAGACTCTGTTCAATCCTCATATGTTGCGTTTGAGCAGGAAGATGGTGAAGAGAACGTCAAAGCACCCTGAAGGCAGCGTTCCAGCGCTCAACTTATATTGCTACTCAAGTATTGCTACCTGGTCTCTGGGCATGCGTTTCTTGGTACACTATCTCGGAGCATCTGGGTCCCTTCTCTGACCACTCTAGGTTGACGAAGAATCTTAGGGAGAGGATAGAGCCATTCCATTCTGCGAAACATAAGCACCGGTTCCCCGGCTGTTGCAAGCATCTCCGTCGGACCGAGCTAGCATAAATAGAGCTATAACTGCGAGACTAAGAGGTCACGGTAGAGTTTTTGATATTGCCAAGTAGATTGACCTTTATGAAAGACGCTGTCTGATTAGCTGATCATTTAGTAGTCGGCCATGCTGATATAGATTGTTTCAGGTGCGTAGGTAGGTCGGCCACCAGAATGCCGAGAGTCGAGCTCTTCGATGGTGATAAACGAAGTCCTATTCATGATACACATATACATACAAACGATCGCTATGGTTGGCGAAAAAAAAAAAAAAAAAACTCAAAATATGAGTCCAAAGTGCTGCCCAACAGGACTTGATTTTACCAGAGAAGATCCTACTTCCCCAAAATACCGTAATCACAGCCTCCTGGTGTCGTGAGGCTCTGGATTATACTATGTGTTGATGACCTTGGCACGGAGCCACGGAAGGTCGACTCCGCATATTGATATATTGATATTAATTAAGCACCCAGTCCACCCCCCTTGGGGGGGCGGTTCCTTCTGCTTCTTATCTTATCTATCTTTGTTTTGGTACGTTGAAAACATTCACATAGTGATATGTCATGCTGTGCTATCATCTCCGGGTGATCTGAGTACTTGGATAGTTGTATCAACAGCGTAAGAATGTACACATGTCAAGTCTTGATGCCTAGTAAGTGATTGTCCCAGCCAATATTGGGTATCTGTTCGTGACTTGTTTTATTTTGTTATCGAGTTTCCAATACAGTTAAGTCCATTTTTGAGACATAATTATACCTTCTTTCGTATATCTCATCAGTCGTGATCTCATTTTGTCTCTTACAGTAAAATGTTTTGGGGGGGGTTTTAGGGGGGGTCTCTTTGCTTTTTCTTTCCCTTTGGTCCTGAAGTTATGGCAAGAGACGTGGCTTGGTTCAATTAGTAATGACTACACGGCAAGTGCAGATCTTCGACGCGGCAGACTGGCAGTAAAAAAACAGAATAGAGTTTAGGGCCATGATGAACCCCCTGTATGTACAGTAAACATTCATTAAACGTTGCCTGCTGGAACTTGATCAGGCACAAAAAAACCTGCGCACAATTGTTCAACACGGTCCGTTGTCTGCCGTGGATCAACTACCTAATAACCAACCACTTACTGCGGAGCTCACACACTAATTACTACCACCCCTCCCTCCCCCTCCCCCTCCTCCTCCTCCTCCTCCTCCTCCTCTTCCTCCTCCTACCAGTATTTCACGTCTCGCTGAAGATGCCAGGCTCTGGCAAGGAGAGACCCAAGGCCCACATCCTCTTCCTCTGTCAGCCCTTGACAGGGCACATCACGCCCACACTGCGCGTGGCCTCGGAACTCGGCCGCCGAGGATGGCCGGTGTCCTTTGTCGGCCCAACGACCCACCGCGCCCGCATCTCGGCCGCTGGAGTCCACTTCGTGCCTCTCAAGGGAGACGCTGATGTCGACGATCTGCTGTACTACTCTCCTGACAGTCCAGCGCCTCCCGTGCCCGGGTTTCACTCGCTGGCTTGGTACGAGCGGGCCCTGGTCGACCTCGAGAAGCACTGCCTCGAGCCCCTAGCAACACAATGGGAATGCGTCAAGGACGCCCTGGCTGGCATACACGAGAAACACCCTGACCTCCCTGTGCTCATCATCAGCGAGGCCTTCTTCCATGGCATCTTACCTCTCTACTTTGGGGCTCCACTGCCGGATGGCGTCAAAAGACCACCCACAACGCTGTGTCTCTCCGTCACGCCTCCAGCCCTACGCAGCATCGACCTCCCACCGTTCGACCACCCTCTGCCCTTCAGCCAGACACCTGAGGGCCGTGCCCGGAACGCACGGTGCTGGGACTACTGGGCAGAGCTGACGGCCCCGCTGAAGAGGCTCCTGGACACGAAGCTAGCTGCGTCGGGCGCCACGAGCTTCCCAGATGGGCCCGTCCTGGATGGCACCAACTACACCTGCCACTCTGCCATCCTCCAGGTTGGGGTCCCCAGCTTCGAGTACCCGCGCAGCGACTGGCCGCCACAGTTCCAATTCGTAGGGTTTCTACCGCTCGCAAGCCCCCCTCCAGGCGGCTACCCCAACCTGCCCTCCTGGTGGGACGAAGTGACGACCACCACGGACGAGAGGACGAAGAAGGTCGTGGTGGTGGCGCAGGGCACCGTCGAGACCAACCCGTACGACCTCATCATCCCGACCATGGAGGCGATGCGAGGCCGCGAGGATGTGTTGGTGGCGGCCATCATGGGCCGCAAAGGGGCAGGTCTGCCGGCGGGATTCGACATGCCGACCAATGCGCGTGTCACTGACTATCTGCACTACGACGCCATCCTGCCGCATGCTCGGGTCTGGGTGCACAACGGTGGCTACGGCGCCATCACGCACGGCATTGCCCACGGCGTGCCGATGGTGGTGGCTGGCGAGGGGCAGGATAAGCCTGAGAATATCCGCAGAGTGCGGTACTCTGGGATTGGTGTAGGTCTGGGGACGTCCAGCCCCAGTATTCAAGACCTGAGATCGAGCTTGGAGGACGTGTTGCGTGAGGCAAAGTACACAGAACGGGTGAGAGTACTTAGACAGGAGGCCATAGACTTAGATTGCTTCGGGCGTATCGAGAACGCCGTGCTGAAGGCGCTGGTGTAGAAGAAAATTGAAGAAGGAAAAGGGAAAAGGACAGACGGAAAGGAGGGCAAGGAGAAACAAAAGAAAAGGAAAGCGCATCTCATAATATTAATTCCCGAACGAGGGCCTTGTCAATACACCAATTTTTCAATACCTTAGGAGAAGGCCAGCCAAGCTGGGCCTGGCTGAAGCTATCTACAAAAACAGTCAGGGCCAGGAGCGTGCCTCGCCCAACATTTACAACAACTCAGCCTCCACCGCCGTCAGGACCTCGTCGTAAATGCCCAGTGCTCTCTCGACCTCGTCCTTGGTGACGACACACGGCGGCGTGACGTGCAGTCTGTTGTCGACCACAAACGGCAACAAGCCTCGCTTCACACACTCGTTCTTGACCTTGCCGACGACACTGGGCGCCACGGGTTTCTTGGTTGCAGGATCCGAGACCAGGTCCAGCGCCCAAAACACACCCAGCCCTCGCACTTCTCCCACGATCCGATGCTTCTCGCCCAGCTTCCGCAGCCCGGGCCCCAGCACATCTCTGCCGATGTCTGTTGCGTGTTCCAGGATGCGGTCCTCCTCGTACGCCTCCAGCGTTGCGACAATGGCGGCCATGGCGAGCGGGTGGCCCGAGTACGTGAGCCCGCCCGGGTAGAACCTCTGGTCAAACGCCCGAGAGATGGCTTCCGACAGGATGACGCCGCCCGCAGGAACATAACCCCCATTCACGCCCTTGGCAAAGCTGATGAGGTCAGGCCTCACCCGCTCTGGGTTCACCTCTTGATTCTGCCACGCAAACCAGTCTCCGGTGCGCCCAAAGCCAGCCATGACCTCGTCACAGATGAGAACAGCCCCAAACTCATCACACAGCCTTCGCACGCCCGCGAGCCACCCAGAAGGCGGCACAATCACGCCCGCCGTGCCGGGGATCGTCTCCAGGATGATGGCTGCAATGGATGCCGGACCCTCGCACTCGATCACCCTGCGAAGGTGGTGCAGGGCCCTCTCCGTCTCCTCCTCGGGTGAGCTCGACCAGAACTCGGACCTGTAGGGAAAGGGGCCAAAGAAATGCGTGTGGCCGCGCGCATACTGGTTCTCCACACGCCTAAAGTCACCCGTGGCCACGATGGCTGAGCCAGTCGAGCCGTGGTAGCTCCGGTATGCCGAGAGCACCGTGTCCCGCCCTGTGGTCAGCCTGGCCATGCGGATGGCATTCTCGTTCGCGTCCGCGCCGCCGTTGGTGAAGAAGACCTTATCAAAGGACCTGGCGCCGGAGGAGGAGAAGGCGTTGGCGTGCTTGAGAATGAGCTCGGCCGCTCTGCCGCGGGCCAGGTTGGCGTGTGCAGGGGCTACGGTGGGGAGAATGTCGGCCTGCTTCTTGATGGCGGCCACGACTTTGGGGTGGGTGTGGCCGATGTTGGTGTTGATCAGCTGGCTGGAGAAGTCCAGGTAGCGCTTGCCGCTGTGGTCCCATACCTCGCAGCCCGAGGCGCCGGCCAGAGTGAGAGGGTTGAGCGAGGCCTGGGCGCTCCATGAGTGGAACACATTGGTGCGGTCCAGCTGGTAGGTGAGGGCATCGAGGTCCTCGATGTTGGTGGGGGTGACACTGCCCATGGTGATTGAGGTCCACTTCTCTTGATTCGACGGCCTGGAGTTATTCCTTCAATGAGTTTTCGTTGTTGTGCGGATTTTCTGTATGTGTGGACAAAGATGGTATGCGCAGACTGATACAGCAGTCTCTGGTCAATCGTATGCTTGGGGCCGAGTCGAGTAGAATCGTTGCCCAGAAACAAGGATACCCAATATAATTATCTGAGTTGACGGGCTTTGAGGGGTCGACGATTTTGTTTATGAACACGGTCCGGTTCTCGTAACACACACACAGACACCAGGACAATGTTCCGGTATCGCTATCAGGGTCGTTGGTATGTTCGGCTGGAGTACAGACAGAGACTTCCTGTTTCACAGGCTGGGCTACGAAATCACAGATAACGACGAGTAAAACGAGTAGGCGCTCCGATCAGGAAGGACGGGCCGATAGTTGACGACGATGATTCGCTGGAGTGATCGAAAGCCACAGGGACGTGCTCCGCAAATCTATAAACTGCATGTAAGTAATTAATCGATAGGTAACACGCGCCCCAATGTTTTGACAAAAAGTCTTTTTTCCCTCTGCTGCGAACTCCCGGTCTGTTTTCTCACTCAACAGAAAATTGAGGACGGCCTGGCCTTTAGGTCTGGGCAGCTTGAGCAATCCACCTTGCCGGAAATGTGGATTCGATCCAGTTCAGGAGGGCTCTGGCGTGATAGCACCTCCGTCTTGCGTGATAGTATGCGCGTTGCACATTCCGATCGGGTTCCGTCTGTCTATGTATTTATTGCTCGATATGTCAAATGCGGAGTTTTCACTCGTAATCAATGGGATGTTAGCAGTTATAAATAGCTACCGAAAGGAGAAGGTATAATTTAGTCAAGGCCAATAAACATCGCACAAGAGGTTTTGCACTCACCAGCGTTAGCTGCTTTACCGAGCTCGAACGGATGATCCATACTAATACATAAATTACCTTTTTTTCTTTCTTCTTTCAGGTACTAGTTAATTCTTGCAGGCGCAACGAGAGAAGCCTCCCTGTTTCACATTGCAAACAATATCCACCGATAATTTACTGCTGAGGTGAGTCTCGTAAACAATATTATGAAGTTAGACGAGGAACTCCTTATTTTTCATCATAGACAGAACTTCACCTCCTAACGCCATAATCCCTAGCGCGCGAGATATTCCCTGCGTCGCGTAATAAAGTAGGTGAAATTGAATGCTTGTTTGCTATACGGCTTCGTGATTAATTGCGTTGAGGTAGTGTCGTGAAGGCTCCCGCACTTGGTTGAGTACTTGGAAATGCAAGAAGAGCTGAGAGCCTGGCAACAAACAGGAAGATGTATTTACTCAAGACAGAGCCTATAGCCTTGGACAAAACCTTACATGAGCCCGATCGATAAGTGCAAAGATTTGGTTTCACCCCCTGCCCTCAGTTCAGTCTTGGGTCTTATCAAAACACTGCCATGCATAGCAACTTCGGGTTCAGCTTGATCGGCACCAAAGAATATCTAATGCAGAAGCGCATCGGCTGGAACAATCTGCCGCAGCTTGTACCAACAGTCCTGAAAAAATCACTCCTGGCTGGTGTGCTCCCTGGGATGGTCACTATAATGATTTTGCAATATCTGATATTAACATCAGCCGCCAAGTTCAAGTTTATCATTCCGCGCTTCTGTAAACACGATTGTCGTGAGTATCCTCATGCCTAAACAGCATTACATCTTACATCACATGATGCCGTCCGCTGGGACCAAAATTATGTCTCGATGAATGGCATCTTGGAGCTGGCCTCGATGGTTCACAGCTTTGTTACCCACAAAGTATCGAGTAATTGCGTCTGGTGTAAGACGCCCAACGATCAAGACCCCTTAGTCGTCTTGGCCTCACACGTAGAGCCTACGCTTTTGTTGACCACTGTCCGTTTTCTCATCAGGGTCTACAGCTGGGTCTTCCGTTACTATTTTAAGTCTTGATGAAAATTATGAATATTTTAGCCCTTCCAACTTCCTCGCTAAATGCAAGTTGATGGCTTTTGGCCGTCTGGGGCACCGGAGCTTTTGCCAGGCTTTGCATCTATATATGGAATACCTCAAGCAAACCCTTTCACGATACGGTGTGTGAGTGGAACGCTGCGACTTTTATAGCTTTTGGATCACCTTGCTGTACAATTGCATTTGACTTTTTCATCCTCGTTTTCAATTTCTCTTAGCAGACATGGATGTGCTTATTTTTGCTTTGTAGTATGAGATTTTGATTTTGTAAAGCGACACGAGGACGTCAAACTCAAGACGATGTGTCATTCAGGGAAACTGAGGGAGATGAAACCAGGCTCTCGACGTAATGCAAAGAGCAAATAAAAAAGTATCAAGGGAGCAGAGAGAGAAAGAGAAAACAAGACTAGCGACAGCCTTTCCGGTCCTCCCACTTTGATCAGCTTGTGTCAATTGTCAGTTCGGATTCTCTAAGATTCGAGAGCCGATACATTTCTCATAACAAAATTGCAAGTACGCGTGGCGCTTGTGAGACGCGGACTCTGATATTCTCATCCATACTTTATGGAAGTCATATAGACAGGTTGTTGCAAATATGATCGCTAGTTGTGAGAACAACAGCTCCAATTGGTGATCACCATGGATCTCTCTATAACACTGTCTCCAGTGATTCTGAAAAAGAAGAAAAAATATGTAGAAGGCTTTCTAGGGGCTGTACAAATGGTAGAAGGGAAGATAGTTCTTTAATTAATCTATCTCAAGGCACGCTGTTGCCAATTGCCTTTCTATAGAGCCAGCAATTGGCACTAGTCCCAACTAGGCTAGCATACCTGGCAACTCACTGCCTTTCTATTGAATAGCCCAGGCTAGTGAGTCAGGGTGGCCAGCCAGGCTTCATCCACTCGAAGCCCCTAGGGCCACTGCCACAAAATAACAGGTTGAGATATGCTGAATCAACGACAGAAAGGGGGGTGGAGGGACTCTAAGATATGTTTTATGTGCTGATAAATGAGATTATCATTACAGACTAGTATCTGACTAGGATGCTTCGGAGTGATTGTAACTGACTTGACATAGCACAGCTGATGTAGTACCAAGCAGCTCCCAGCACAGAAGACTTCTGACATGCGGGTGTGGGTGGGGGCTCCTGCGTCAAAGGGTGCTGCTAATAGCGGAATTACAATAAGGCGACAGATAACAACAACATCTGAGAACCCCGCCCCGTGTCTGGTTAGTCTTCCGCTGACAGATTCACTATGCAGTAGCTCCAAGGACAGTTCTCCCAAGATGGCAACTATACCCAGACTCAACACTGTGAGACGAGATGTGGTCTGACGCCACAGTGTTGGAATGATCTGATTCCGCACAAAGAAGCGTAAGCTCTTATCTACCCGCACGCCCAGGAAAAGCGCTCAGACAGACGCCTAATCTAATCCAATCACCAATGGTCGAGTAGCTTTATCAGCGAGCAGCTGTCAGGCAAGGTTTCACGCAGGATTATGGCTTATACAGGGGGAAATCCGACGTTAGCATGAGGGGGAAGGGGGCGTTTTCCCTATCGTTGTGTATTCGCTCTAGGCAGGGGGGCGCGGCGGTAAGCTGCCGGAATGGGGTTGCAATCTGAGAAGCAGTCTGCAGATCAGTGATACATATTTGGAGGGCGTTGGGACCGCCGTGGAATTTCTGCGCGATGACATACATCTATCTGTTCATGCCCTGGCGCGGTGCTACTGTAACCTGCTGTGTGCGACGACGAGTGGACCAACAGCAGTGTTACATCTATTGTAACAGTTATTGTATGTCTTTGAACAGAACAGATTCAAGAGTCGCCTGCTTGTGAGAGCAAATTCCACCACCACCTTCGTTCGACATGTCAACACCAGACGTGACATCGAAATCGGACGGCGCACCTGCCGCCGCCGTCGATGATACTACTGCTGCTCACCACCATCCGGAACATCTCGTGACGACCGGCGATGGCGGCGTCGTTCTCGCGAGCGAGGCCGACGCAGAGCTGCTGGCCAAGATGGGCTACAAGCAGGAGCTGAAGCGCAACTTCTCGACCCTCGAGGTTTTCGGCATCGCCTTCTCCATCATGGGCCTGCTGCCCTCCATCGCCTCGACCCTGGCTTTCTCCTTGCCAGCCGGGCCCGCCGGCATGGTCTGGTCCTGGTTCCTGGCAAGTGGCTGCATCTTTCTCGTCGGACTGGCCATGGCCGATATGGGGAGTGCGATGCCTACGAGCGGCGGACTTTACTATTGGACACACTACTTCAGCTCTGCAGGGACGAGGAATTATCTGTGTTTCTTGGTCGGTTATAGTAACAGTCTCGGCTTAATTGGTGGACTCTGCAGCATTAATTGTTCGTTGCAAACTTCCCTGCTGCAAACACACGAGAGTAATGAGTCCAGGAAACTGATCATAAAAAACTGCACCCAGATGGTTTTGCCTTGATGTTCTGCGCTGTCATTGTGATAGCAACAGACGGGTCATGGACCCCGAGCAACGGGATTGTCTATGTTGTGTTTCTGATCTGCACACTTACGCACGGCGTTCTTGCCACCACTCTGACCAAGATCATGAATAAAATCCAGACGTTCGCCGTCTTCATGGTCAGTAATCCCAAAGCTCATTGATTGGCTTTTCGCTCTCTCCAGAACTCTCGACAACCTAACACAATCTGGATAGAACATTGCTCTCATCCTCGCCACGATCATCGCCCTGCCCGTGGGCAGAGCAAGCCAGCGAAACGACGGCCACTTCATTTTCGCCGAGGTCGAGAATCTCACCACCTGGCCCACCGGATGGGCCTTTATGCTTGCGTGGCTGAGTCCCATCTGGACCATCGGCGCCTTCGACTCGTGCGTCCACATGTCGGAGGAGGCGAGCAATGCCGCCAAGGCTGTTCCGCTGGGTATCCTAAGTTCTATTGGCATGTGCTGGGGGCTTGGCTTTGTCATTGTGATCGTGCTGGCAGCTTGCATGAACCCGGATGTTGAGAGCGTGCTCGGAAGCTCGTTCGGGCAGCCTGTGAGTAATTGCTTTTATCGCCTTTCCCCAGAGGAACATGCGTCGTGAGCAGATCTGGCACTAATGCAATTGTTGGACGTAACAGATGGCTCAGATCTACTATGACGCGCTTGGGAAACATGGAGCGATGGGTTTTATCGCTTTCCTGTTCATTGTCCAGTATCTGATGGGTCTGTCAATCCTCATTGCTGCATCTCGGCAGACGTGGGCGTTTTCTCGCGACGGTGCACTGCCATTTTCGCCCTTCTTTCGACCTATTGTAAGTTTTTCTTTCTTTCTTTCTTTCTGTTTTCTCTCTCAGTCTTTCTCCTCCCCCTCTCGTCTTTCAAACCATGTCTCCAGCTGACAGGCAATCCGTGAATTAGTCGAAGAGATTCGGTTACATCCCTCTGCGTACCGTCTGGGGGTCTGTCTTCGCCGCCATTGTCCTGGGCCTTCTCTGCCTGATCGCTTCAGCAGCCGCTTCTGCCCTATTCTCTCTCGCCGTAGCGGGCAACAACCTCGCCTGGGGTGTTCCGATCTTCTCACGTGCAGTCTGGGGCCGTGAAAAGTTCACTCCAGGCCCCTTCTACACCGGTCACATGTTCAGCCTGCCCATTGCCTGGGCTTCCATCATCTTCCTGGTCTACGGCATTGTCCTGGCCATGTTCCCTGTCGGTGGTCCAGATCCTACGCCGCAAAGCATGAACTACACCGTCGTTATCAATATGGCGGTTTGGGGCGGATGCACGCTCTATTATCTTGTGGATGCGAGAAAGTGGTTCACAGGGCCCAAGTCAACAGTAGAAGAGGTTGAGGAGGTTCTTGGCCGAGAGCTGACTGGTGAGATTAGGGAAGGGCTGTCTGGAAAGGACCAGCCAGCTGAGGCGAATGAGAGCGGCCCCGAGACGGAGAAACAGCCCGTCATTTCAGAGTGAAGAGGACATCTACACACACGTATACACGGCCTGAGTCAAGAGCCAAGTTTCCTATAATGGTTTTCCTGCGAGTTTTGCGCGGTATTATACATTTCGCTGCACAAGCAGCACGTTGAGCAACACGATAAAGACAAGGTTGCGGCAGTAATTACAAGGATAAGTCCGAACAGAAACAGAAGTCAACAGATGTCAACAGATGATCTGGGCGCTAATGAATCGATTTGGAATCAAAGAATTCATGTGTCCGCGATGGGTTACATCGAACAAAATGGCCATCCAATGGAGAGGCCTTGTTCCCTGAGAGCCAAGCAGAGTTGATCGTCACCTGTTCACCACTCTACGCAGATAAGACCGAGGTATCACTTGCTTTCCCCTTTGGTCGAGCTCACTATAGCATGAAAGCTGTCGCCGATCCTGGCTTTTGTTGATATATTAGCCTGTTGCTTCCGAAGAGGAATTGCCGTTGCCCAAAGTGTATTATTCGGTCCCCGCAAATTGGAGGACAGGAAAATAATTGTTTCAAGATCGTTCACTGTCCATTCTTTGCTGCGGTGATAGGACTTGGCCTTTTATCACTTCCACGCTTTTGTGTTATTACTAGACACCAATCATAAGAACACTAAACATGACAGCTGTCTCCACGAACTCCGTGGCGCAGCTGCCCAGTACGGCGCAGCTGGCCATCACCAACCTCAAAAATGCCGGGCTCTCAGAGGTCCTTCACCTCCAGGGCACGGAGATCTACGAGGAGCGGCTTAAATCTTACTGGGCACTCACCCCTCGCCTCCGCGCCTGGGCTCTCGTCCTGCCCCGGACGACCGAGGAGGTGTCCCTCGCCGTGAAAGCTCTTGTCGGAACTCCTGATTGCCAATTTGCCATCCGCAGGTCAGAAGAGGTCCTCCCTAGGATTATTGATATTCCTTTCCATACACATACATGCACGCGGTTCTCTGACTAACGAAATTATTATTTTCAAACGAGCAGCGGGGGCCATATGTGCTCACCAGGAGCAAGTGGCATTGAGAACGGGATAGGGATCGACCTCGGCCTCTTGGCCAAGATTACTTATGATGCCGAGACCAAGCTCGCGTCTGTGCAACCTGCACCTCGATGGCTAGATGTCTATAAGACTCTCGAAAAAGGTGAGGCTTTGCATCCCTACCCGCCTTTTGTCTTTTCTTTCCAGCTTTTTGCGCTCAGGCTGACCGGGAAAAAAATGATGATGTTTTATAGACGGCGTTATGGTTGCGGGTGGTCGCGAGGGCCTTGTTGGCGTTGGTGGGCTGTTGCTTGGCGGTGGGGTTCGTCTCCTGATTATCCAATTCATGAAAGTGAAGAGATGTGGGCGACTAACTATCACGCCATTGAAAGCTCTCGAACCACACCTGCCGTGTTGGACTTGCATGTGGTAAGTGATTCTTACAGACATTATGTGACGCCAATGTCACAGCCCTCTGTGGCCCCTTGTATCCCGAGATACGACAATGAGTTCTCATTATTCTCCTTCCATGACAGGATCTAAGCTAAGCCAGTGCTACGTTCTCAGACCAGGTTGTCAACTATGAAGTGGTGTTGGCTGATGGCAGCATTGTCAATGCAAACGAGACCACAAACGAGGACTTATTCAGGGCCCTGAAGGGTGGCGGCAATAACTTTGGCATCGTCACACGCTTCGACATCCAGACGTTTCCCGCGTGCGACGTGTGGGATGGGATGCTATATCATCCAAAGACGGAGACACCAGCCGTGATTGATGCTCTTGTCAATCTGGTCGACCATCTGAAAACGACGGACGAACCCTCGGAGCACTACCTGGGAGTGTGGCGTTACATCCCTGAGGCGCGCGACATTTCTCTCTTTAGTATTCTGACACAGCTGGACGGCGCCGAGAGCACTGAACCTCTGAAGGAGTTTCTCTCCATTCCTAGGCATCAGGGGAATATGCAGAAATGGTCCATTGCAGCAAAAACGACCGCATTCACTGTGCAATCGAATCAACAGTGAGTCCCAGTCCTCTCTGTCTCTCTCGTCATCATAGCGTTCCGATGAAATAGTTACCAAGAGAGCGCCCTCTGACTAATTGCTATTGCACAGCTCCATATGGCTTAGCACTTGTTTCAAGAATGACAGACGCATCGCCAGAAAGGCCATTAGCACGTATGAAGAGCTTATCGACCACATCAAGGAGAAGCATATTCCCAGCGGCGAGTTCGAAGCGATGCATGTCTTGCAAGCGCTGCCCACCAGCTCCACGCGCCTCTCACCAATTTTGAAGGGCAATATGCTGGGCCTCGAGCGCCTGGCTGGAGAGGCGGTTATTCTCACTGTCACGTGGATCCATGTCCCCACGTGGGAATTGGCGCAGGCTATCTTTCCCAAGTACAAGGCCCTGTTGGATGAGCTTGATGCCTATGCGGAATCTCTCGGGGGATCTGTCGAGTTCCGTTATGCGAACTACTGTGACAGGAGCCAGAATCCACTGGCGACATACGGCCAAGAGAATATTCGGAAGATGAGGGAGGCTTCGAAGAAGTATGATCCGACCGGTGTCTTTCAAACCAGGGTGCCGGGTGGCTTCAAGATTAGCAAGGTGAAGACGACTGAGTGAGGCAGAAAGTGTTTGTGCCGCGCTGGTGTGATCCTTCCGGCTGTTATGAGTATGGACTTGCTGTGTGCAGCCTGGTCTTTACAGCATTCAACGCGATTGTTCATGGTTTTCCTTTCAACTGCCGTCGTACTTATTCAGTCTGGGTGCTGATTACTTGACATGTTAAGCTACATCTATCGAGGGCCCAGAGTAGAGCCCAGTTTCGTACGTCACTGATCACTTGTCACATTCTTATGAATTCTGAACATTATGATTTCTGAACAATTAGTAGCATGAAGGCGGCGTGCTGCTTCTCGTTCAAAATTGCTAGCATATCAAAAGACGTTGCAGAGGGCAGAGAGAATTGAAGGGTCACCCACATCAGGTCGCAACCCACCAGCCAAAAAAGTAACCTTATTTCCCTTAAAGTGAAAAGGATGACCCGGCCAAGACCGCCAAGGTATAGCGTCTCGTCCCTTCTGAGGAAACTGAAGGGGGGGGAGAGACCTCAGGGGCTCGGGCCTAGACCTAATATGACCTGAAGAAGAATGGAGCCGCTGGAGGGAGAGCGGCACTTCGCACCTTGACCCCAGGACCATGCACGTTGCGAGGTTCTGATTCGCTACACTTTAATTAGGGACGACCCGCCGATTCTTCGCCTTGTTTCAAAACAGAGCGCCACGCCCTCGTCCCGAGCAAATCCAGTTCCTTCCTGCATGTATGTCTGTATGTACCTACAAGCCTCAGAGAGACAACTCGGATCCTACACGACCAGATTTCGGTTCTGGGTCTTCTTTTTCTCTTTCTCTCTCTTCCTTCTACCTTGGCATTATGCGAGGTTGTCTCTGTCTCTCCGCTTTCTCTCGGCAGCACCAAGGGGGTGGACGAATGGAAGAAGAGCTGCTGGCACGAGAGACAACATATATCCTGCTCCCAAGAATGACGAGTCATCCATTCTGTGGTGCTCTCTCCAGCCAAGCCACTGGGCGTTTTGTTTGTTGGTTTCTGCCCTGCTGAGATGGACACAGGCCCGCTCTTCCTCCAAACCCCTTTGCAGCTTCGTCTGGTCGGGACATGAAGCAAGCAGCTGCGCCGTCTGAGGACGAGGGGAAGAAGGGGTGAAATGGACGCCGCACGCCTCACGCCATACGCCATAACCTCAAGAGCAAAACAAAGCCCGCCGCGCCGTGTCCTGTCCTGTAAGTATGGACGGATGGCCTTGCAAGTAAATTGGTATTCCGGACGAAGCGCGAGCGCGCTGCGCGTCATGTGGCCCCGTCGTACCCGGCCCGTTTTATGTGGACACCTGTGTAGAGATCCACCGGGTACATCATGGGCAAGTTCGCTTGTCGACCGGTGGTGGGCTCCCGCTGGAGACGCCAAGAGAGACGAATAGGTCTGCGCAATCTTCAACGAGATTACAAAAGGAGATGGGCCTCTTCACGATGTCACCTCTTCGTGTCCTTCCTCTGCTGATCTTCCCCATCTAAGAACAACACCCCATCTTCTTTCGTCGCTTTTTTCTTTCTCGCTGTGTATCCCTCTCTCTCTCTCGCTATTACTACTAGTTAGTCAAAAACAATCATTGCCTCCATCCTTATCCTTTTTCTCTTCTTCGCTTCCAGCTGCTCGAGGACCGCTACAGTCGTTCCCTTTCCAGTCACTTGAATATACAACAATATCTCATTCTTTTCTTTTCATTCCTTTTCAAAAAGATACAAGGCTATCTACTGCCGTAATTCTTCAACCATCTCTCTCACTCTCGCTCACTCTGTTCAACGTCGAACCAAAAAATACTTAATAAATCTCCAACGCTTTCACATCATCGCCAACAACTCAGCATAAAAGTATCGTTTCTTATCACCGAAAATGCAATACACCAACTCCTTTGGCGCCTTTCTGGTGGGCCTCCTGGCCGCCTCCGATCTGGCCACCGCCGTCCCCACCGGCTTCCGACAGCACGCCCCGGTGACCAGCGGCAGCCAGGCCCGTGACAGCAGCAACTCCAAGGGCGGCGTCTCGCTCAAGCAGGTCCGCAATGCCAAGCACAGCGGTCACCAGCGGGTGGGAGCACTGGCCGTGGAGAAGGCGTACCTCAAGTACAACGCGGTGATGCCCACGGAGCTGACAGACGCGGTCTCGCGCATCCGCACCAACCTGGCCGCGGGCCTGGATGCCCTGGGCCTCGACAGCCTGAGCCTGGACCCGAAGAAGCGGGCCACGGGCTCGGCAACCACCACGCCCGAGGAGTACGACGTCGAGTACCTCACGCCCGTGCAGATCGGCACGCCGGCACAGACGCTCAACCTCGACTTCGACACGGGCTCGTCGGACCTTTGGGTATATTCGAGCGAGACACCCTCTGACGAGGTCAGCGGCCAGACTGTCTACAACGTCGACGCCTCTAGCACCAGCGCCAAGCAGTCCGGATTGACCTGGAGCATCAGCTATGGTGATGGCTCCTCCTCCAAGGGCGACGTCTACTACGACACCGTGTCGGTGGGTGGCCTTGCTGTGACCAATATGGCGGTCGAGACGGCCACGACGGTCTCGTCTGAGTTCACTGCCGATACCGACATTGATGGTCTTTTGGGCCTGGGCTTCAGCAACCTCAACACCGTCAGCCCTACCCAGCAGAAGACCTTCTTCGACCGCTCCGAGGACAACCTGGACTCCTTCCTTTTCACTGCTGACCTGAAGGCTGGCGAGCGTAAGTCTTCAGGATTATATGTTTCTTCGCACAAAAGAGAAGAATGTATGTGCCGTGTTTTGCTAACATGAAAATCACAACAGCTGGTACTTACAACTTTGGCTTCATCGACAACGCGTCGTACACTGGTGACATCTACTACACCCCAGTCGACAGCACCCAGGGCTACTGGATGTTCTCCTCCTCGGGCTACCAGATCGGCGATGCCACCTTCACCTCGACTAGCATCAAGGGCATTGCCGATACCGGCACCACCCTTCTCATGCTGCCCACCGCCATCGTCGAGGCCTACTATGACCAGGTCGCAGGCGCCTCCTACGACAGCTCCCAGGGCGGCTACACTTTCCCCTGCACCTCCTCCCTCCCAGACTTCACCCTCGGCATTGCTGCGGGCACCATCACCATTCCGGGCACCTACATGAACTACTCGCCCCTCGACAGCGCCAACACCACCTGCTTCGGCGGCCTCCAGGACGACAGCGACATCGGCTTCGCCATCTTTGGCGACATCGCCCTCAAGGCCGCCTTTGTCGTCTTCGAGGGCGGCGACAGCCCGCAGATCGGCTGGGCCAACAAGAACCTGTGACTAGATGGCGGAGCCGACGGGCAGCAGGTTGTTGTCGTCACCACCGTCGTCACGGTCGTGTCGTAAACAGGGAAAGAGAAACCTGTCTTGTCCTATAATAAATCATTGTTTTCCCACCACTAGATCACTCTGGGGATGAAAAAATAAAAAGGGAAGGTGTGTGCTTTGGCATTAGCGCGGCGTTTTAAAAAGAGAGATGGGGACCCTAGATCCATCTTTCTCTGGTAATATCACCTGTGAAACAAGCGGCTGTAAGGTTGTTGGCTGAAGAAGGAGCGGAGAGACGAGACGAGATGAGAGGGAGAAGTAAGACGAAGGCGAGCGAGGCAGAGGCTGGGAGGAGCAAAGGAGAGCGGGCGTCTTGATGATGGACGAGGTGGAGGAATTTTTTTCATCTTCTTCTTTCTCCTCGTGGATCGAAAGACGGATTTTGATACCCCCCAAAGATCCCATCGACCGAAAATCCCACGATAGACGGAAGAAAGGTGATTTCTTTTTTCACTTGTTAATTTTCCTGTCCCCCATCAGGCGTTGCGCCTCTAGGGGAGACCATTCTCCATGATGGATGTACATAGCATGTCCCAGAAACAGAACCTTCGTGGAGTTCAGAAAAGCCAGGGCGCGTTTCCTTGTCAAATACAACGAAACCAGCTTAATGGTTACATCATTACCATTGTTATAGAATTCAAACAATCACCATCACTACTTCTATGATCATAACTAGCAAGTCTCATTCTACAGTGAAGTACTACTACAATGCCATCTGCCCGCCAAACATGCCTTTGGTAGACCACCGGGGCCGTTCATCATAACTCATTTCTGTGTTACTGGCCGACAAATCCTCGTGCAAATCTGGTTCAGCGTTCAGGGTCCCCAGTAAACCCCCAGAAAAGAGAAGCTGAATGCCCATGCAGATCTGCGTTACGCGTCGCAGTGGGGGAGGAGGCGAGGCATTACTCGTCGTTTCCGCAAGCTGACGAGCGCACTAACCCTTGAGTTTCTCAGTGTCGATCTTCGATAGCGGCGCCGATCGCATCTCAGACAACCCCTCTTTGGCCAATCAAACCTATTGGCTCCATTTCAATCAAGGTCATAAAATAGTCAGCTAATTGTATACTTATGTGTATAATAGTGCTAGCACATGAATCGAGTCCGAGAGCTCGGATGTGTGCTCTATGCGATGAGCCGTTGCCCTTCGCAACGTTAGAGATAGAAATCTTTGTGTACATACTAGACTACAGTAAGTACGTTGCACTAAACTTGCTTAGTAGTGGTACATCTGAGTGTGAGGGTATAATTCTAAAACGACAAGAGTATGAACGAGCGTAACTAAAGAGTAATAAATTTTTGGAGCAAAGATCTAAATATTCGTCTGCTGGTTGTGTCTTGTCCAAAACAGCAATGCAACCCCAAACAAAAACACCGCTCCTTTGAAGGCTCCGGGTAATGCGTATGCAGTTTAGCACTTGAGAAACTTTGCTTGATCGAAGATTGGAAAAAAATAAAAATCTCTCCTACCCATAACGCCAAATGCTCAAACAGCCAGCCTACCAAAACGCAAGCACACTTGCCATCCCAAATGAAAAACAAAACAAAAACGATTCGGCCGTCCATCGTTGATGCTCTCACCCATGCATATGCTTGTTTGTTAAATGAGCTGTTGCGTAAAGATCGTGTGCCGCTCTTGCTAGCACTAATTGTGATGCTGAGATTTGATGTTCGTCTTTGTTGAGTTCAAGGATTCGTCCCTCCCCCCAAGCGCCCAGCCGTGCATTTTTCATACAGTGAGCATATATGTCGGAATTTGTCGTTGCTGCACCGAAAGAGAAAAGAAAGAAAGAAAGAAAAAAAAAAAAAGAGGAAGAGAAAATCACCTTAGCCCATTCGCGCCCTTCTCGACGATGAATCTCACAGGCTTCCTCTGCCTCCTGTTCATCATACCTCGCGGCGGGACAACAGGCTTCATCATCGGCCCCATTCCACCAGCAGCAGCTCCACCAAATGCCATACCCAAGCCCCCTCCGCCGCCAGAGTTGCCAAACGGACTCGGTGCCAGCCCGCCTGTCTCTGAAGCGCCATCGTCGGGGCTTGTCACGCTGTTTCCGTTTGTACTGCTGCCATTGATGGGCGTCTGGGGCCGAGGCACGTTCATATGGTTGTTCATCAATAGCGCCGGGTCCACAGTCCTCTGCGTGGAGGAGAAGGATGTACCACGAGTGATGCTCATAGGTAGCCAGCGCCCAGGACCTCGCTCGTCAAAGCCCCACCGCACAACACCGCCGCTTGCAAGCCAAGGCCCAAGATTCTTGCACTGCGACACGTCCACCCACTCGAGGCGGCCGCACCCTTCGAGAACATTGTCAATGCCTACACCCGTGACACGGACGCATCCCCTCACTGAAAGCCCACGGAGTTCGTTGAGGTGGAGAGCAATGCAGCCCAGCGAGGCATCGCTCACAGCAGAGCCACAGAAAGCCAGGCGTAGCTCACGGAGTTGAGGGAGGCCAAGAGCAACAACTTCTGTCGCGGTGTCGGAGAGTGCACAGCAGAAGGACAGATCGAGATGTGTGAGCTGCTTGGCGGAGTTAACAAGCGCGACAATCGCATTATCTGACAGGTAGGTGCAATCGGCGAGACAGAGTCGTGTTAGGTGTGGGAAGCGGAAGGGCGCCCAAGATTGGAATCCCGCATCAGAGATGGAGGTACACCGTGTCAGAGATAAGCTCTCGATGCGAGAAGAGGCGTGCGCGGCGAGGTGGACCATCGACCGGTCGGTGATGTGTTTGCAGTAGGAAAGGTTGAGATGCTTGAGCTTAGGACAGCCAATGATGGTTCCCGGCGGAGGGGTGTTGGGCTGGACGGCTTGTTGATGCCATTGGATAGCTGGCATCCTCATGTTCCTGCCCTTGCCAGGAGCGCCAGAGCTGGAAATGACAACCTGCTTGCGCTCGGGTGGTGGCTCTGGGACGACCCAGCCCACGACTCGAGCAAGAAGATTATCGCCCACCTTGCGACAATTGCTCCAGTCGACCTCCTCCAGCTCCTTGGAATTCTCGCTCATTTCTAGGATCTGGCTAGCGCTGACATCCCACACCGACCTCATACGCCATGACTTGATGTTCTTGCCGCAAAGCTTGTAGAATGCCTGAAAGCCGTCGTCCGTGACATGGAAACAATTCGATATGTCAACCATTGTCGGGCGACAGCCGAGAAAAGGCCCGATGACATTAGCCAAAGCCCAGTCGGTGACGTGCCGGTTGAAGGCGGACAGGTCGACTTGTTTACAGAGCTTCTCTGAGGTCGTCAGAAGCCGCCGCCAGTGTGAGCATACCCGTCGAGCTCGCAGCAGCTCCACGATGTCGAGGTGCTCAAACACCATGACGAGGACGTCATCAGGCAAAGCTGGCGTCTGCAGATTCTGCAGTGAAGCTGGCCGGAGGGACAATGTCCTCTGCTTTTTGAACTGAGGTTGATCATCATTCTCCGGCGGCGTATTCGGAGTTGAGAATGAATAGAGCTTCAGTGGGCTGCTCTCAAAGGTCTGCGAGGTCTTGAGACCGTTCGTTCCAGGGGATGATGGGGATTCTGGAGGAGTAGGTGTGGTGGGCACAGTGGGCACGGTAGGCACTGGAGGCGCCAAGGAGTTCCGCCGACGACTCCTGATGTTCTCCATGTCCACGCTCAAGAACGGATCCGGATCTGTATGCGATCTGGTCCCTGGCGTCTCATCGGCCACAGGCACGTTTGGTTTCGTGGGCACTGTGAATGTGACTTGTGGGAGCTTCGATAAGTCCGAGTCTGTGTCTGAAGACCCAAATCCTTGCGCATCTTTCATTTCGACGTCGTCTTTGGGATGGGTCTCATATCGCTTCCGTGCCGTCTCTTCCACCTGGGAGCGCACTCCTGGAGGGCACCTCTTCCAAAGCTCTTCAAGTGCAGGCCCTCCAATCATCAGACATTCTACTGAGGTAACGGTTCGTACGGTCGCCGTACGCGCCGAGGCGAGCCCCAGGCTGGCAACCTCACCAAAATACTGACCGGCCTTCAGGCGGGGGCGCACCATGGAGGACCTCGTCATCCTCTTGATGCTTTCGCCGTTCGGCGTCTCCCGAACCACCTCGCATTCGCCTCGAACGATGAAGTAAATCTCACTTCCGGGGCTGCCTTGGCGCACAATGTCGGTGAAGGGCGGGTAAGAGACGGGGTGCGCGCTCAACCCAAGGAAGTGAAGGATATCGGACGGAAGCTCAGAGAACAGCGACAGCTCCTTTAGCGTGGTCCGAACATTGATGAAGCCGCTCCCGAGGGCGCTCCCTCCCACGGCTGGATCTTCGATGACGCCCGGGCTCGGTGATTTCCTCTTCTTCGAGTTCACAACAGTACCCTCCCTGATAGCGCCGGCATCGCCAGTGGTGACCTGGCCTGGAGCTGCCTCTCGCGCCACGGTACCGCTCTTGTCAGTGCTCCTCGCCCCTCTTTCTTGTTGTTTCTTCTTCAAGATCGCCAGCCTTTCCTGGGCTTCTTGGAGGATCGCCTTCTCCATGTCAGGGAACCTAGGGAGCTCCACATTGAGGTCTTCCTTCTTAAGGACCACAAGCAAACATTTGGTCCGCGCGACGATAGTGGCTGTGCGTGGCATTTTCATGAGTACGCCTATCTCGCCGAAAAAGGCGCCGGGCTTAAGCTCTGCGTACACCGCCTCCCCATCGCGGGATGTGACAGCCACAACGCCTCGCACCAGCCAGTACATTGCCAAAGCATTGTCTCCCTCTGTCAAGATCACGTCGTGCGCGGCATGAACCTGTGGTCTTAGGTGTCTGCCGACAGCAGCAAGAAACTCGTCAGGGGCGGACATGAACAGCGGAAAGGACCGTATTCGATCGACGAGATCCAGTGGCATGTCAGGTATTGTACTCGCCGCAAGGGGAGATGGCCGTATCGGCCGGGCGGGATTGGTCTCGACATTGAAAGACCGAATCAATGACGATACGGACTCCGGTAAAGGCTGACCATTTGCCTGGTATTGTGCATGATGATGTGCCAACGCCCGGTAGGGCGACGGCGGGGGGGTCGGGACTCGACCCCGCCTCATAGTCATGGATGCAAAAACCCTTCTCCTCTTCGGTAATCACACCAGGGTATAGTAGATATAACACTGGCTTTCGCCGCTCTTGACAAAGTGTTCTTGGATCGCACTCCCATGCGGCAGTTGCCCTTGGGTAAACGGTCCACCGTTGCTTCTCGATGAATCCAACGTCCTTCCTCAGTGCTGATCCGCGTCGACTTGTTTGCTTTCTGTGTCAAATCGCCATTCGTATACACTAATCATGCCTTGTCAGGTGTTGCTCGAGATGGACATGAGCGTTGCCAGCAAGGTCCCACGGTGGACGTAGATTTTAATGGACGATCCGACAAACGGGGGATGTTGAAAGCTCGACGGCCCTGAAAGTATCCTGCGAGACCACGTGCCCAACAATTTTGGACGTCGCAGCTCCCAACTGTAGAGATTCGGCTGTAGGTGGATTCGAAGCACAGAGGGGTTCGAAGACAAGTTCGCCGGCTGCCTCTGGCGGCCTGGAGGGGCAGGTCGGAGGTGGGCACCTTACGAGAGCCTTCCGATGCGGGAGGTCGAGGGAAGCCTCCTACGACGAGGACGTTGTCAGGTCAGTCTCCAATGCTTCGTCCAGTGTTCCCCGGCTCCAAAAGCTGGCAGGAGCTAAGCTATACCTGGATAGGTTTTAAACGTACGAGAAAAGTGCCGACTTGAGACGATTGGAGCTTCAGGCCAGGGCCATATGCTGCTTCTGGCCTACAGAAGCTAGGTAGGTAGGTAGTCGCTTCCAAGACAGAAACGGCGCAGGTAATGCGGGAAAATCTCGACCAGGGCGTTGTTCGGACAGGGAATTTGTAGGATGGAATAAACAGGGCGTTTGAGAGACGCTGAAGCGCGCGCGTGTAGGGAGGAGAGTGTACGGTCCCAAAGTTGCTGTTGTGTCAACGAGGAGGGGTTGGTCGCGCGCTTGTCGGAGGGTCGGGATGGAGAATGACAAAGTGGGCGCTGCGGCTGGGAGGTAGGCTGGTAATGTTGGTAGAGTGATACGCTATGACGAGGTCAGGCTGCCCTAGGGATGAAACACAAAGGGCCCGCCTGTAGCTGGATGATAGGGCCCGCCTGGTAGCTGAGAATTCGGGTTCTCTAGTGTTATGAAGAGCTTGACGAAATGTCTCTCCTGGAGGGTCGAGATGGGAAAGTTGATGCCTATCTTCTTGTCGGCTCCAGAGGCGCGTGGGGCTCGGACTCAGACTAGACTGGGGTCGGCTGCCCTCCCCGGGACGATCTAGCAATTGATGCCAATAGGACGATGATAAAATGAAGGGGAAAAAAAAATCCAGATGTCGCTGCTAGAAGGTCTAGTGGCGTCAATGCTATTACCCAATGGCTGGGCAATCGGGGTCTCCCTTGTATGACGGTCTCGAAGGCTGAATAGGCAGGAGAGACAAGATGAGTCTGCTGGCTGCATGAAACAATAAAAAAAAAGCTGTATGCAACTCTGCGTGATGATGCTTGGCGCGCCGCCGCAGCTGGAATGGTGTCCTCCAAATGCAGGTTCCCGAGGCTTGCTTCTGCGACTCGGGAGGAGGGTGGTAGTGTGACAAGGTGCGATCAGGTCCTCCGTGAGCTCTGTGTGTGTGTGTCTCTCTCTCTCTCTCTGTAGTAGGGTAGCCGTCCTCGAAGGTGTTAGCGAGAAGAGGGATCAGTACTGTCAAGCTGTCTGTATGTATGTGCGTTTTGTGTATGTGCTCTGGTATTCCCTCTCAAGATAACTGAGCGAGCGCAAAGGTCTCGCAGAATCAAGAAGGGCGATTCCCAGTAGCTGATGGAGATCTAATGCGCGATTGGCGTCGTGTCTCAGAAGCGGTCAGGGAACGGATCCGGGACCGTGGGATCGGAACCTGTCCAAGGCTGAGAAAAGCAATAGCGCCAGCCCAACGGTCAGGGTGCCGTAGGAGGACGACGACGAGAGGAAGAGGGACAGAGGCGTGTTTAGACTTTGCCACTCGTGCGAAGAGTGAGATCTGGAGGACGATTGTGGACGTGACGCGGGTAGCACATGCGCGAGGAAAAAGAGAGAGAAGAGGAAGATCGGGACCAGCTTGCAAGTCGCGCAAGGACAAGGGCGCGAGAAAGGATGTCGAAGCTAGATCACATTTGTAAACATGATTTGGTGTGTGATGTGCGGTGTCTGGGTACTCTGCCTGCCTGACTCTCTGATGCGCTGGAGACAAAATGTGGGCGCCCTGACATTCGTTGGCGTCTGGTCGTTGGCACACTGTGATGTGGCCCTCCTCGGCTTTTGGAAGGGGGCGCGTCTCTTTCCTGCCAGCTTGTCCAGACACAGCTGCATGCAACATGTATAGTACTCTCTCCTACCCCAGCCCTGCCATGCCGTGCCATCGTCCATGCCATATCCACGTCCCACATCCCACGTCCTCGCTGGAAAGTAGCCGGCTCGTCGTTGGACGGGATGAGCTGCGGGCCGGGGGGGGGGGGGGGGGGAAGGTTAAGGGCCAGCCCCAAAGGGAGCTCGGCGCGCGCGCTGGCCTGGCCACATGCAGGGACCCCTGAGGGACGGCAGCAAGTGGCTCAACCTTGATCAAGCTTCTTGGGCTTCTAAATTTTCCAGAACTTCTAGAAGGGCTGAAAAGTCGTGGGAACCCGGGCCAGCTGGGCTCCAAGTGCCGCCAGCTAAGCCCGCTAAGGCAGGTTGAAGGTTCTCTCATAAGCTGACGTGCATCTTGGACGTAAACGAGCACCACCCGGGGCATTTCGTCACTAGAGATCAGGCAGTTCAGAAGGGGTGTGTATCACTACTGGTCTGTCATGGACATGGCCAACCTGCTGCTAGCCAGACCCTACTTACGACAAGCCGGTCACCTCGTTCATGTGGGCCACATGTGCAAAGGGAGTCAAGTAGGGACGATTCTGAACTGAGCGATCTCGGCTAGGAGACTCCAGAGCCCAGACTGACCTGAGTGGGCAGATCAGTTCTCCAAATGTCGGTGTGGGCGTTGGTCCCTAGCTGTCTGCCCTGGCTGGCCTTGATCGGTGTGGGTTCACAATCGAGCTCCTGGCAAAGCCTCAAAGAGGTAAAGAATCTGATGGCGGGGCTTTGTTTCGAATTGGTGAGGGGGGGCAGTGGGGGGGATTCTAAGCTCCCTTTCCCCAAAGGTACTTGGAGTTAATGATATTCAGCTCATAAGTGAATGCGTTCTGAAGCGCCTATCGGTCATAAAAAAGAATGTGCCTGTCGCTACTTGTGGCCGCGTACTGGCCACACCGAAGAGGGGGAGCAGGTCTTGTGTTGGAAAGAGTAATTGAGTGGGTGCTTTAGTCTATCTGCGGAGACCCCCCTCCTCCTTCCCTCACCTTCTTTTCCCCCTCCCCCTCTTCCCCCGAAACCCCACCAGCCCACCTGGCTGGCAACGTTGGTAGGATCATGATGGCGGGCCTGCCCGGGGCTAGACGCTAGTGCTGTCCCCGGTCGATCCACCAGTTCGCCAGACTTTGTCTTTCTTTTTTCTATTTTCCCTTTGCACCTCAGCGTGGTGGCTGCTACATACATGATCTCGCGCAGGATGATGGCGAAATTTGACAGCTGCAAGGACTCCTTGGTCGTGGCAGACATGCTTAGCCACTCAGTTCCGCAGGATGTGGATTTGCATGCCGAGGAAGGAACGTTGGCATCTCAAGATCTCATCCCCATCTCAGGGTCTCGTGGGGTCAAGTAGCTGGGCGGTCCCTGCGTAGAAGCTGCCTTCTGTGAAGCGTGGAAGCCTTTTCTAGCGCTTGGCCTGTGTGCCTTTAGGTGCTGGACAGCACTAGCTTGCACCCTCTCCACTCTTCTTCTCATCAGACCACACACACTCTCTCTCTTTCTCTCTCCCTTACCCAAAAAAAACTTTACTCTACTCGTGAACATCAAGGCATTGAACCGTCCTCTAAGGCGCTTGCTCTCGAACAACGACGACGCCCATACCATATCCCATTCAGGGTGCCCAATCAACATCAGTATCGACTGCTGCAGCCCCACGACACATCGGTCATACCGAAGAGTTGCAGCGAGGCGGCTTACGGCGTCAGTCAGTCTACTGTCACCTTGGGTACACGCTCTGTGCCAGCCCACCAACCAGGCATGTACCATAGTAGCTGCAGCCTTATCTGCCCTTGCAGACAACAACAGACGCGTGCATACCATAGTACATGCATCGTATGTATGTCTACATGCGCCGACTTTCCAGACCATAGCAGCTCCTGCGGATCTCTATTGGAGTTGTGCAATCTGCCACTGACGTACAGCCACGCGCCATCGGTGCCACTTCCTGCCCGCAAGCCCGATCGGCACCAGACAGGAAGGTCGTACTGCATCATATTGCATCGCAGTCCAGACGACGCAGACGAGCTAGTAACCATATGACCACAGGACCACAGTACGACAGCTCTCCGTCGTAGCGTCCACGGATCGATCTAATCGGACGCACAATGAATCTGGGCCTGTCTTCTGAACCCGTCTGTTCCTGCGCCAAACTGAATAAACGATGCACCATACGTGCGACCTTCCACCGAATTGTCTTTGATAACAGCAAATGGAAAAATCGAGATGTGCTTGCGAGGAGAATCTATATCCTGGTCTTGCAGCATTAATTTTACTATTAGATATCATGCATGTGCGCGAGCTACGGAGTTGCAGTCTTGCCCTTTCCACCCTCATCTACCCTCATCTACCCTCATCTACCCCCTCTCCCCCGTCCATCCATACCCCTTCGGCGCTTCTTGGTGATGCACGTCCCATCTGAGTCGATCACCACGAAAACACAGTGATCCAATTTTTGGAATCGGTGATGCCTCAGCGGCCCATGCTATCGACCAAGTATTCAAGAGGGCCCGAGCTCGCTCCTTGCATTGAACTTTCAGGCTGGCTGCACCTAGCAATTGAAGCTCACGACCAAGCGTTTGCCCCGTCACCACCAACTGCAGTCGCGACTGGTTTTGGGACGTGGTGGCCAACACACACAAACCATGGCGAGTATTCGTGCCGCTGTGTACTGAATATGAGAGGAGGTGCATACTGACTGCACCAGGCCGAGACCGTCTTTGGTCATTACCTCTCTCTGTGGCCTTGAACCACTTGGATTGGCGCCTCGGATACACTGTCGCCTGACGATCTCTCCTCCCACGGCTCCTCCCTCTCGTATGTGGCTGAGAGTCTTTGTTCATTGCTGTCCACGCAGTCGTCATGTGGACCGCCGAGGTCGTGTAGCTTTTTCCTTAGCTTCAGACCCATCAAATGTCTCACCGCCAGTACGTGCACGTCTGAAGAGCAGAGGCGATGTAGCTGTTGCATACCGACACATGGTGTTCCAGCCCACTCTCCAGGGGCTTGTCTCGCCAGTCCCGAGATTTGTGTCTCCTTTCTCAAGGCAAATCCTGCTGAGAGGTCTCGACAGTGTCGTCTCCTTCAGGAAGACAATCACTCAGTGTCTCAGAGTCTCGCTTGTCCATGCTGCTCTCCCACTCTCTCTGTATTTCTTCTTCTTTTTTTTTTGGTTCGTTCGATTGTTCCGCATTCCCTGGAGTGGGGTTGGATGGTTGGTAGCAGGGCGGCGTTCGCTGCCAGATGATGTCCCAGCTGCTTGGGAACATGAAGCTCAGATGCCGCACGTCCCGAACCCACAGTCCGTCTCGCCCCCCGTGAGGTTACAGCAGATCGACCCACCAGCACAAAAACATGATTCCACCATGGGTTCAACGTCCTGTTGGTTGTCATGGAAGTCATCTACCACGATCTCCGTCTCAGGTATCTCCTGCGCAGAAGGCTCGGTGATCGCCACGTTGTTGTCCTGGACAAGCGGGCTCTGTCTTGGTGATGGAATCACAAAGGCCGTCGTCGCCGATGCCGCGATACAGAGCAGGGCAAGAAAGGTGGTCTTCATCTTGTCGGCTGTAAATTTGATATTGGTTTAGGTAGAATGTTGAAGGAATATGTTTGCTGGCTGTGGATGTCTCAAACGATGGCGAATGAGCGATTGTTGGGGTTGGAGGTAAAGAAGAGAGGTACTGAACGAAACACCTTGGTGCGGCTCTAGGTATTACCACACGAGAAAACGTAGGGACGGAACGCTCACAGCAGTACTACTAATACGCGCCCATGATGTGAGCACACGACCAGACCTTGCGTTATATATTCTTTTCCGAGCAGATGCATTCCTGCATAGTGGTAATATTCCATCGTAGCAAGCGAAGCCACTAGTTCCCCGGGATGCATTAAGAACCAATAAATCCTGCTCAACGCAATCTCACGAAATCACCCCGCTGCAACGGAGATACTCTGGTAGAATGGTAACGGTCCTCTCCAAATTATCCACCCGTCGTACCGGAATAGAAAGTCTTAGGGCTTGGCAGACTGGGGGCCGGATAACAAACAGGGGCCTTTCTTGCACAGAACCACAGAAGGGTCAGCAAGAGTGCAGGCCCCCTTTGAGCCGAGGTCACAACACACAAAGAAGGAGGAGAAAGAGAGAAGGAAATGAAAGAAAGAAGCGGTAGGATGTTGGTCAGCAGCCACACATCCTTTCGTCGGCATTTCCTAAAAGAAGAAAATCACTCCCCGCCTCCTTCTGGGTTCTTCCTCCTCCATCGTTCCCCTCAAGGCCCAGAGCCTCAATCTCGCGTCCTTTTTTGACCAACAATAACGAGCTTCCTGAAACGGATCTCATCTGATCTCTGGAAACGGCCACGGGTACCCTAAAAAGAGGACCCTGTACCGCCCAATCCCTCCAATAGTCCCACGGAAATGGGGAAAGGGAAAGCAAAAAAGGGTTCCCGGGGACTTTCTTGTTGGCCGGGTCCAGACCTTTTGGAGGCTCTGCCTCCGTGAATGGTGGGTGGCCGCTTTTGGTTCGACCTCTTGGCTCTTTATTCCTTCTTCCTTGGGAGAAAGCTCGCATTCTATCACTACTACTATAGCATATGTCGTTATTTTTCCGGTCGGTGTCATCACTTTATGTTCAGCTGCACTGCCCATGTGATCGGGGACTTGGCCGAGGCTGACTGGCATCCTTGAAATCTGACCAGACTGCATGTTCCCTGGAAAATACAAGCGAGGTGAAGTAAGCACCTTGCATCCTGAATTTGATGTCTCTTCCAAAGGTGGAGGGTGAAGCAAAACAGCCTAGGTTATAAATACGAATCTTACCCCGTCTTCAGCTTCTCTATCGATGAGCGAGTTCCGTAGCCGTCGCTGCTTAGACCATGATCGCGAAACTTCGTAGAACGAGATTGTCGAGCTTGCACCCTTGGACCTCCCCACCGGGAGCCAAGCCTGGTATGCCTCCACTCTGGACTCAACGTCAGCCGCTTGTCAGTTTATCTCTGTGAAGCCTAGGAGTCGCAGTGGTTATGCTCAACTGATGTGAGCCTGGCCGAGATACGCCGACGAGGACATAGTTACGCCTAATTAGACCTCTTGCGTTGCCCGTAGCCATTCTATGAGGAGGATCAGTCCGAACAAACATGACGGTCTTTTCTCTCAACAAATGCCCAATGCATGCAAGCACGGATGCCGCTCCATGATGGTGATGACGATGGTGGTGGTGGTGATGATGATGACGAGACGCAAAGACTAGGAACGCGCCAGGCGGGCTAGACCTGCGCCCAAGGCTCGATAGCTCTCGCCCCTTGCAAGTTAGCCAGCCGTGGAGTGCTTGACACAGCGTGAATGGGAATTTAGACTTGGAATCGGTCCAAGTATTTAAGCAGAATGCTGTTCTTCGTGTTTGAGCATTGCGATGCTGCAACACCGGATTATACGACGTTCAGCCACATCTCAAGAATCACCTGACGTGCGTCTATATTTTCAACGACAAATCGCTTTGAAGGGGGAGGGAAACAATCTATTTTGTATCCAAGATGCACTGTCGAATGATACTTGCCGGCATTCTCACTAGTGGCCTCTGTAACCTTGTCACCCAGACCAAACCAGTCAGTCTCGCATCCTGTCGCTGCTCCTGTCTTGGAAAGATTTATCACGGAATTGCATGTATCACCTCAGAACAGAACGCTGATCTTCACTATCCTCTGCAGGCCACTCCGTCTCTGTTAGTCGCCAGCCCCCATGAAAACATGACCACGATCGCGCTCAGCAGCAGCTCTGTGGTGAAAACAGGACACCAAGACCCGGTCTTCGAGTGTGGGGAGTACACCGTAGCCGACGACGCCGTCGTCCTGATGGCGAAGAGCCTTTCGCGGGTAAAGGGCAGGCCTCCTAGTAATGACGCACACCAGTGCGGACAGGTAGCTTGTTACTATAAGGCAGCCATTAGCTGGTGCAATGATGTACGGTCTTCTCCCACTGGCTTTTCTCTGCTCTCGATTTTCCCCTTCCTTTCTCCCCCAACTGATATCTGAGGAACTCCTTCTTGCGGAGTCGATTGCTTCTCGTACTAGCTGCAAAGTCCGCTTCAAGTGCCAAAAACAGGCTCACTGACCACCTCCATGATAAAAACAGAGCGATGAGTACATGGTGCTGCCGGACTGGCTGACTCTCGCGAAGGCTGCCAGGGCGATTGCGGTCACTTGCCGATCTAACGACACAAGGATGGTATTCGGGCACTCTACATACCATATGCTGAGCGGCAAGGTTTCCTATCCTGAAGGATATAGCCTTGTGGTCAAGGGCGGGCAGAACTGCTAAATGCCCACTGCTTCTCAAGCTCACCATGTCGTATAAGGCCTACGTGCAGATGTCGCCATCATGTGCAGTTTGGCAAGCTGTTGTGGTTAACTCAATCTGCGATTTGAGAGGCGTATTGTGCAGTGGATTCAGAAAGCCTATCAGATGTCTTCTTTCAGCCACTGCGTCAAGACATTGTCTCGAACTGGTACGTGAACGTAGGCTGTCTAGCAGTCTCCACTGAAACTCAGCAGCAGGCTGTCTCAGACTGCCTGCTCAAGCCAGGCATCATCACATCAATATGTGGGATATCCATGAGCATCGAACATGACGAATAGAGAGAAGGGGCACCCGTTGGATTGTCAACACATCCCAAGACTAGTTTCATTCGTCACAAAACAAGATAGATAATCTCTCGCATCATTGACGAAGTAAATCAATCATTCCTTACATTTCCAGGTGTGAGGTTGGAATTAGGCTCAGGGTTAGGGCTATCCCCACGCACTTGCTGACATACAGTGTTGGTCATTCGTCCGGAATTAGTACCTGGTTGGGCCCGAGAGCTCGAAGCTTCCAGGGCGACGGATGGCAAACGTCATTTTTGGCTCTGACAAACTTCGATTTCCATCAACTCCGATTTCAATTTCATCGACCTTCGTTTTCTCTTGAAGTCCCCCTCCCCCTCCTCCGCCGCGCCTTCGCTATTCTCCTTCCATTTCTTCATCAACCACCTTCTCATTGGCCAACTGATCAACATCTCAACACAAATGTCCTTCACAATCACCCTGCGCCAGGGCCCCGCCCGTCTGGCCACCCGCCTACCTGAAATCGCCCGACCCGCGACGAAGGCCACTCTCTTCTCATCCTCCTCAATCGCTGCACGCGCATTCCACCAGTCCGCTCGCCGGTCAAATGCCTTCTTCACATCCCAGACCACTCTCGCCCTCGCGCGCTCATCACCGAGCAAGTCGACTTCCCTCGTAAGCCGCTTTGTCGCCGGTGGCAGCAAGCGCGGTTATCAGTCACAAGCGGGCACTGCAACCGACAACACCTCGGTGCTGCGCAAGCTCGCAGTCGGTGGAGCCATCTTTGGCGGTACCCTGGTGGCTGTAAATGCCGTTTTCAACCGAGAGACCCGCGAGGATGGTGGCATGCCTCTGTTCGAGCGGAGCTACCTCAACCAGACCTTCCTGCACACAGGTCTGGGCATCGGCATCATCGGTGTTACGGCCAGACAGATGGTACAGAGCGGGTTTGTGTACCGGCTGATGGTCACAAACCCCTGGGTAGTCATGATCGGTGGTCTGGCCATGAGCTTTGGTACGATGATCGGCACGAGGATGGTGGATCCTGACAAGTAAGTTTTGCTTTTTCCGAAAAATCCGGTGATGCGCGAGTAGCAACGCTGACGAGGCACGCAAACAACAGCTACGTTCCCAAGTACGCCCTCTGGACCGCCTTCAATGCCACCCAGGCCGCTCTGATTGCGCCCCTCGTCGCCTTCGTCCCCGGCGCCCTGCTCGCCCGCGCCGGTCTTTACACTGTGGCTATGATGGGCTCCATTTCCTTCGTTGGTGCGACCGCCAAGCAGGAGAAGTACCTCTACATCGGCGGACCTCTCCTGGCTGGTGCCGGTCTTGTCATGGCTTCCGGCTTTGCGCCGCTCATCCTTCCTGCAACCGCCGTCCGAACACTCGCGTTCACCGAGAACATCTGGCTGTGGGGTGGATTGGCACTATTTGGTGGCTTCACGCTGTATGACGTACAGAAGGTGTTGTACCACGCTAGGCTGGCCGAGCGAGGCGTGATCAAGAAGGATCCCGTCAACGAGAGCATTGCGCTCGAGCTGGATTTCCTGAACATCTTCATCCGGATGGTGCAGATTCTGATGATGCAGCAGAACAAGAGGAAGTAAAAAGGTTGGAATAGCCGAGAAGTAGGAGGACAGGGTGGTGTGGTGAGGATTTGCAATGCGGCGGAAGAGCTGCTGCTGGTAGTGGAGTTAGGAGTTGATGTATTGGACATTCTCCTCTCACATTCATGGTTTCATGGTAATAATGTGGTGGTCTGCAAAAGGCCAGGTCAATCAGTCTGGCGTTTTTGCGCATAGCTCTCAAATCAAATTGTAAAAACAAAATAAAAAAGAAGAATATCCAATCATCCAGGCTTCCTCATATCTCCACAGCTGTATCTGTACACATGATGTTATCGTACGGTTTGCCCACGGCACCGTGTTTTTTTCACGCCTAATACCTCTTATGTTTCGGCACTCTCGACTATTTCAGAGAGGGAAATTCCCTAACATAATGGCTGGCACACTGATAGCCCGAGGGGTTCTTGTCCAGGTACAGCTGGTGATAGTCCTCAGCATCCCACCACTGCCCCGCCTCGATGACCTCGGTCGCCACCTTGCCGCTGTACCACTGCTCATTGACCTTGGCGGTGATCTCCTCTGCAACCCTCTTCTGCTCGGCGTCGTGGTAGAAGATGCCAGAGCGGTACTGGGTCCCGCGGTCGTTGCCCTGTCTGTTCTTGGTGGTCGGGTCGTGCATGCGGTAGAAGAACTCGAGGAGCTGGGCGTACGTGATCTTGGTGGGGTCGTAGATCAGCTGCGTCGCCTCGGCGTCTGTATACGTGTTACCAGTTAATTTTGATCTGACCCAATTCTCGACTCTTGGGTTGGGGTTGGGGGGGGGGGGGGATTGGTAACACGCACGCCCCGTCTCGCCTGTGCAGACTGCCCGGTAACTCGGGCTCTTGGTGTCACCACCAATGTAGCCCACGCGCGCATCATACAGCCCCTTGTCCGCAAAGTGCTTCCGGTAGATGTGCTCGACGCCCCAGAAGCAGCCCGCGGCGATGGTAGCCTTTTGCGCGCCTTCCGGGATGTGAGCCGAGGTGGCACCGACGCCGTTCTCTGTGGCGACGCCGAGGAAGGAGGCGCTGGTAAAGGGGCGGGTCAGGCGGGCTAAGAAGCCGGGCATGGTAGAGGTCATGGTCGAGAAGAGGAATGCCAGGAGGAAGATGGCTGTGGTTGTGAGGATTGCGGTAGGTGAAGTGGAATGGGGGCGACGGTGTTGAGTTTGAGAAGACAGTTTGGAAATTTCTTGAAAGAGGTTTGTCTGTGAAGAAGTGTTGAGATGGAGGGGGCAGTTTGGTGTAAATAAATCCCAAGATATATACTTGTATAGAGAAATTGACTATAGGAAGGAAGATTTGGGGAGGCTGTGGAAAGTCGTGACGTTTTGTTTAGTATGCGGATTTGCCTCTTTGGATCGGCATGACAAATCCTAGGGGACCAGGGACCAGCTACTTACAGTACAGGGAGCGGGTCTGACCCTAGAGCTGTGGGCGGGGCAAATGCAAGGCACACAGCACGTCACTGCACCCCGCGCTGCGCACATCAGTAAGTACCCAATCAACTGAGTCTGGTGAGTTCAGCGACTTGCCTCTCTTGTAGTTGTGACCGTCCCAAGATAATCTTTAGCCCTTTTTTCTTCTTCTTCGAATTCTAATCATCCATGTAACACGTCCCAAACATAGCCCATGAGATGCTTGCTTTTCTAGTTACTGTAACCTGCTTCAAGTATATGCTGGGGAGGCTGAGAAAAGTATAAGCAGACCATTGATGATACAACCAATGTGCCAGCAGTAATCAAAATTGCCCAAGAGAGGTTAGCCTTAGAACACCCGTTCATTACAGGTGAGATGAATCACCTCTTTAGATCTTCTTCCTCAGCTACATGCCCCCCGCCACCGTGTCTATCTCATCTTAGCATCCAACTGTTTCGTCTCCAGGCATGTCTCGGACATTATGGTACGACGTATGCTCAATTCATTTTCCAGGGGGTCATATCATGCAGCTAGCCTGTGGCGCCATCCCGAGGAGAAGAGGCGAGATTGAGATGGTAGGTGAACCTTGTTTCTCTGCACAAACATTGAACCTTGCCGATGGGGCGCTTCGGTGATTGATCTCTATGGTGATCATACTTGCTGAATCTTGTGTTTACCTGTTTATTGGGGAGGTAGCTGGGAGCTATGCAAGCTGAGGCCGGGCTGGTAATATTGAGAGAGGCTTGATCCTGGCATTTTGTAGAGGTATGAAAGTCATGTTCCATGGCAGGAGTTCCTACTCAGCATATAGAAGTACAATATAGGCCGTTTAGGTCCAATGATACGTTCACTCCAGGATTTGAGCAGGCAAGGAAAGATATAGAGGTAAGTATGAGACACATGGAGAAAAGATATGGATCGAGAAAGAGAGTTCTTGCTCGTTCCGCTCCATACTACTTCTTCTTCTCTCTGGATAAGGACTAAAAGAAATTAGCTGGTATCATCAAGACTTAAAATTCTCCCAACACTTTAGCACCGCCTGTGATTCCTCTTTTAATCCTCTATCCATCTTTAAACCTGGTCCTAGGATGGCGTACGTCAAAAACTCGTAGCGGGTTCATTTGGATTGTGTGTTTCTCTCTGAGTCTACAATAAAAGGTTAGGGGAGAGAAGAGAGAACACAGCTGGGGTAAATCGTGGTATTAGCTTGTGCTGGCCTCGTGCGCACCAGCGGTCTCGTCCTACAAAGTCGTCTGCTGCTCAACAGCTTTGAAGCTGACCAACAGACGCAGCAGATGTGCACGCATATTTTGGAACCTGGATCCCACTAGAACTGCACCAGGGCCCCCGTCCTGCCCACTCTCTGCTAATCAGATCTAACGTCCGTGCCAACGGCTTACCGCATCGGACTGGGTGACATCCGGAAAGGTAAAGGGCCTTGAGTGTTTTGATCTGGGGAAAAGATAATTATATAAACACCATTTGAATAATGGATGCTGCCTGATCTGATAACTCTATTTATTCCAAAATGTAGGTCACTAGGTGGATGATAGGGAATAATGAGCTGGAAATATCGGATGTCAGGGTCATGAGATATGTCAGTTAATTGTTTTCGTCGCTCGTACTAGGCAAGGCTGTTACCGAGGAACATTACATTCTGTACAGTTCTAGAATTGAGAGATTCTGCCTTGTAACGAAATCATGGGATAAATACTCGAATACCTTTGAATAGAATACTTACTTGTCAGATGTTGCAACATATACTTATTATATTAAGTTGACCAAGTTGTACATTCTCAAATTCTAACATTTAAACACTTCAGCATCCTCCAAGTTAAATGTTCTTGTAATAAATATCAACTCAATAAAGCATTTTCGGAATCACCACATCTTTGTTATACCGCCACAATAAAGAGCTGTAATGTGTGTGGAACGCCGCGCCACTATAAGACATAATACCATTCAACCCTCCTTGCAACGCTGTGAGGTTCGCAAAGAACCCATTCCGGATCACCTCCGGCGGGACCTGAAGATGAAACGGCGAATGCGACTTGAGAACAACCCACTCGGGCTCCGTAACAGCAGAGCCTTGAGCCTTTTGCACTCTCTGAATCTCACGCGTCGCATACGCTCGCACTTGTCCGTCGGTCAGCGTCGGTATGTCTGCCCCGAGCTTGATCCACCAAAAATCATCCAGCGTGCCCACTGGAGCGACTTGATATAGTGCTGGCAGCACCGGGATGTTGTACGGGGTAGTAGCGGCTGAATTGTCAATGCTGATAGTCTGATTCATGCCGATGCCGCGCACCAGCCCTGTCCAGTAGCCAGTGGCCGTATGGTACTGCGCGGAGACAGCATGCTCGTCTGGGGTAAGATCCCAACCAGCGAGATTGTAAAGGGTGGGTGGGATAGTGAGGAGGATCTGACCGCATGAAAGAAGGCGAAGACCGACTTCATCGGGGCTGGAGACGAGGAGCTCGGGACGGCCTGATGTTGTGTTTTGACGCTGGCTAGAGATGACTGTGGACTCGTACAGTATGTTTGATAGACCTAAGAACTCGGCTGCTCTTGAATAGAGCTCCGAGTTGTTTCCCCTGGCTGACGTGAGGTAGCCCTGGGTCAGAGCCTGGATGTCCCCCAAATTGAAATATCTCATGACGTAGATGGCGGGCCGTTCCCTGTGCAATTGCATATACAATTGGTACAGCGGCCGACAGATTGTACTTATCTATCCACGCACCGTAAGATAAGTACAGATCCTCTGGAACTGGATCGGGAAGATCGTAGCCGTCCAATATGTACGGATATTGTGACATTGCCGCAGCCATGCGTTGCAAGGCCTCCGCCGCATCAGGGTACTCAGTCGGAGTTACAGATGAACCATTACGAAAATCTGCATATTCCCGAAAGGTGTTGTACAATGGAGCGGGCAAAGATGATCTGGGTGGTGCACCGGCCGCGTTGACGTCGACAGTCGAAGTGTTGATGAGAGGGATCTGGAATTTGGCGAAGAATTCTTCAACGACTGTAAGAGGTTGGTAGACTACTACGCCGATGTCCGCAGTCTTTCCAGTCTTCGGGTCTATGTAGGTCTGTGTGGCACCTCCAAGTTGGGCTTCCCGCTCGATGACTATCACGGTCTTGTTCAAGTCCATGAGTGATACAGCGGCGTGAGCTCCGCTTGCGCCCCCGCCCACAATGCACACATCGCGCTTCACTACCTCGCTCTGGTTTCGGTTGATGTCAATGATCGACCAGCCGTGCGAGACGACTCGAACCGGCGAGGTCAGAGTCGCAAGGAAGAGAAGGTACTTGCGCATTTTGAGCCGTGATGGTGAGTTTGCTTGTTGGACTATGTGAAACAAAGAACACAAACGGTCGTGCCAGAACAATTCGAGTCAAACGCACTCGTCGCTCCGCCTGGTTTTATATTTCATTTTCTGTTTAAATTCCTGGTGTGAAGGAGCAGAGTGATATCGCACCTCATCTTGACCACACTGTGTTGCATGTCCGAGGTCGAGCTCTGAGAAGCCGCAATCACATCCTTAGATCAAGACCAGTATGGGCCGTCCCAAGTAAAAAGAGGCTAGGAATGGTATGCTGGTAGGCAAGTGAACATCAAAGCGGAGTAATTACCCACTTCAAGTTAGTGAATTTGTTTTGCAATGGGACATAGTAGCTATTGCAAGTTCCGGTCGATAAAGAGCCATTGCTCATCAAACGATCCCTAGCAGTAATTGTAGTGGCCTTTTGTTGTTACAGGCAACCTAAGCTAATGCTATGGAGTTAAGTATCGTAGGATTCGACAGGATCCGAGTATTGGAAGAGCGTGTTGGGCTTTCGTCATGAGGTCCATGGCCCCTCCATATGTGAAGCGCATGCAGTTTTTTTACACAGTGCGCCATGCTCCGCCGGCAAGGGGTGTCCGCAGATACGCGTATTGCTATCTGTCTGATGCTGTGGGTGACGTTATTTTTTGTTCCTCGAGGAGCACTCCTGAGGTTGGAGAAATGACTGAGCGAGGAGAAGGAAAATGGAAGTGCATAACGGGCCCCACCTGTTTTGTTATCATTTGGACTCAGAAGCGTTCGTGGCCAATAAAGTGCCCATCCCCATACCGAGACACTGGAACGAAAGCTGAATCTGGGAATCGGATATTCGATGGGAGCTTTGGAATTTGATTGATTCCAGTTTTGTACTGCATTCTAATTCAATCCACATTTGCTAACGTTGAAGTGAACTGTCTACCCAATTATTATCCTAACATTCATGCCAAGTTGGCCCTCGACACCATTTTTCGGTGCTTGTCAATTACTACCAAGCCAGTATCTCAAGGGAAAACCTTGAAGCCGCCAGGGCAAGCCTTCTGGAACAAGCCTTGAGGTCATACTTCTTGCCCGCCTGCTGAAGCTTCTTCTTGTTCACAACGCCGTAAGAGCCGATGGGGTCTTGATGGGTCCATGCGTAGTTCATATATACATACGGCACCAGCTGCCCTCGCGACGCGACATCCTGCTTCATCTTCTCAACACAGTCCTTCATAAAGGCCAAGACAGCATCATTGTCGCTCGTGTTGGTCCAGTAGGTGAGCAACAGGAGAGAAACAAGGATCCATCAAATGGCTTCAGTCCCAACTGGTTGCCCCCTCCAGTCGCCTCTGAGCGCTCTATCAAGGAGACTGGGTATGGCTGTAGGGTGAAGGAGGCTGTCAGACCTTGAGGGCCGTCCACAGATCGGCGTGGCTGTTCGCGTTTGCATTGACAGTCTCACCCGAGGCCAGAACAACCTTGTAATTGATTACATTGTCGCAAATGAAGCCCTCACCGCTGGGAAGAACGACACTGGGAGCAAATTCAGACCGACTGAGCAAGTAGAAGAAATTACAGCAAGGTTGATGGGACAAACCCTCGAGGGCGAGGCCGCCGATGCCGGCCATGGCAGACAGACAGACAGACAGGAAGTCGACAAACGAGGTCAAGTAGCGATAACACAAGCAGACGCCGTATCTTGAACGTCAGCAAACATATTCGCTAGGGATGTGTCAACAAGATTGGGCAGCGTTTGATTTGGTTTGCGCTTATTTTGGTATTGACCGGGACATCCGTGTCGACGTCGAATATGCCGGTCTATTCACTATGCATGACGCACCTCCTCTTCCAATCAGGGACTCAAAGTTCCTGTGTCGATGTTGAGCTGTCGAAATAGAAACCTGAGCCAGCCAGTTCTAAGATCCCCAAACACCCCAGCCAAGTACATTCTCTTTTCTCAGGACACAAGTATCTCTCGAGCTTCACCGTACAAGTAGTTTTAAGACCCATTCAACGTGGAGGCCACGGAACTTTGAATACAGAACCACACGTACTCTACCGTTGGATGAAATTCTTACATAATGGGCTCTTTAGTTATCAATCTAATTTTACTCTAATCATAACAACAGCCTCACTGCTAGTGAATACTCGAATACCTGTCCAAACCTGTAATTTATTATTTGGCACTGCTCTTATTAACTGATGTTTAGAAAACGGTATACCTCTGAGATGTTTTCCAAATAGGTATGAATAAGCCTTCATTTTACAAATCAGGTCAGTGCCTCTCCCTATCAGCCTCGTATGCATCCATTGCCTTCACATCTCGGGTCTGGTTGGAATGTCTACAATAGCGCATCAGAACTTCCTTCTCTCTACATCCACTGGTCCTGTAAGCTCAGCTGGTTAGAGCGTCGTACTAATACTTCCTCGAATCAGGAGATATCTGTGATGCGAAGGTCGCGAGTCGGGTCCTCTCCGGGACCATCTACCCTGTTGTATTTTTGTTGGTTCAAGTCAAAAGTCTGCAGTCTCTTTTATGTGTCCGGAATACAGTGTAAGGCGACACTTACACAGCGCCTAGACGGGGGCTTGGTGGGGCGGAGATTCATGTAAGCAGCTGTACTCCGCTACACGGACTTATTCGGAAACACCGCTCCTGAGCGGCGTTGATTCGTAGTATGTCGCAGGATTCAACCACCGCGGCTAATAATGTCCGCTCGTTTATTTTTTGGCTGTGACCCTTGGTATCCTTAAGTGTATTGAATCTAACACCGGGCCCGGATTTTACGACTTGCACCACAAGAAGCTTTATGTCCGCCACGCTACTCAATGAAGTAGGTTTCGCGAGGACTGAACAAGACATAAAAAGATGACTCTTCCAAACCGTCAGGAACAGCTCGAAGGGGGGCTTTTTTTTCTTTTTTCTTTCAAGATACTTGACAGCATACTATTTCAATCCCTCGAGTAGTCACATTCCAAACGATTTCACGAACCTACGCTAATTACCTCTCACAACTTACTGAAAATTACGACAAACCATCCACTCAGACCTCCATCAGCCCCTCGACCCCGATTTGCTTGCGTCTCTTCCGAAGGAAAGAAAAGTACAGAAAGAACATCTAATCAATATGGATTCTACCAAGAAATCGTTCAAGGTCGGCATCATTTGCGGCAGCACGCGCTCTGTCCGCGTCGGCCCACAAGTCACAGCCTTCGTCCGCGACACCATCAGTCATCACCTCTCATCCCAAGCCGGCAAAGGCACCAAGGCCCCTCCAGTATCTCTGGAAATTATCGATATAGAAAACTTTAACCTCCCCCTCTTCGATGAGATAGTCATCCCACAGGCCGTCACTGAACCCAGCGGGTACGCGCACGAGCACACGCGTGCCTGGTCAGCATGCGTCTCTTCCTACCACGCCTTCGTCTTTGTCACGCCGCAGTACAACTGGGGGATCCCAGCCAGCCTCAAGAATGCAGTGGATTATCTGTACAATGAATGGAAGGGCAAGCCTGCCATGGTTGTCTCATATGGTGGCCACGGAGGAGGTAGGGCAGCCGAGGCGTTGAGGACCGTCTGCCAGGGCCTGAAGATGGGAGTTGTTGAGAAGACAGTGAATATGTCATTCCCTGATAGGGACTTTGGAGGAAAATGTTATGTTGGAGGGGATTTGGGATTGGCAGAGGAAGGGTCGAAGGTCTGGGAGAAAGAGAAGGAGGATATTCTGGCTGTCTGGGACGAAATGGCCAACAAGCTGACGGGACTTGCTTGAGAACGACTTGTTGGGAGATTTCGATGCCGATGTCATCTTTGTTCTTGATTTCCAAAATCTTCCCTTTTCTGTTTTCACGTTTTCCTTTCACCCTTTCGTGCGCCTGAGAGGAGTCAGCTGATCATATCGGCATACAGATTTAAATCATAAATTGTGAGAACAGCTGCCCTAAAGCAACCTACGCTACACCTGTGAATGAGGTGCAAACGTAAAGTTTTTTTTGCTCGGGAAGATTAGGTGACTATAGTGCTGCATTTTCAGCCCTCCAACTCTTATTTAACCTGGTTACATATGGCCCAATACAGCAGCTGCTACAGTGGATTTTACCAATAGTGGTTTTTTGGTTTTTTTTTTAACATAATAACAACAGCTCGTGGCACTAGTCTACAGTGAGTCAGTAGTTACGTAGTACCCTGATGATAAACCTCTGGCCTTGACGGCCTGGATGACCTCACTGGTTTAGGAATGTGTACGACGACTTTACATTGGCCATTCAAGCGCGGCTTCATGGTTGCCATCATCTTTCACGTAAAGTTCTTGTATCGGTTTTAAGCATTCCGAAGATGGCAGCCCTGACTCACCATACCTGGATCCTCAAAATACCTCCCTGACAGGTACATTTTTGGCGGGGCATATATCCTTCTCGAAACTCATTATACACACACAGTAAGTTCAGCAAGCTAGTCTCAGCGGGCGGGACAGCTCCAAGCAGTGCTGATGAGGAGCCTGGGATCCGGGACTCGGGCGAGCAGCAGCCAGAAAACAGGATGCAAGCGTGCAAGACGGAGAAATGCACCACTCTGCTTTATTTCTTCCTTTTACACTATTTGGAGTGTAAAACACAGGAAGCATATAATTTTTTTCAATCGATTTTTTAGTCAGCTTATTGCCATTCCTCATAGCAAGCAACTCATGACTTCTGCTCCAACATCAGGCGTGTCAGTCAAGATAAAATATACAAGGAATGCGCGTTTTGCAGTGTGAGCAGGACATTATATCCTTAACCATTATAAGAATCATTTGTCTTTCCCAGCCACAACTATCAAGCGACTTCCGCAGCTTATACGGAGAACTTGCAAGCAATTTTCATGAAGTGCCCGAGGGATCAGGAGAAGATAGATGTTAAGAACAATTGACATTGTGGCTTGCGCAGCAGATACATGAGTTGTAAGGCTAAGGGACAACATCCAGCCTAATGAAGAGAGTTCTGAGTAGGCGGGGAAACTAGCGCACAGACCTGATCTGGTCACCTTACTGTACAGTAACACGGACACAGGAATGTCTGAAGCTGAGTGGACCCGCTTTAATCCTCACCCGCTCTCTTCTGAGAATCTATTACCCTGTCCTCGTAATCCTCACTAGGATGATGCACCCTTCCCAATGATCGGTCGCTGACACTGCTCGTACGAACACATATGGAGTTCTACAAACCTCAAGATGCTGTTGCGAAGAGGCGACAGACACCGAGTATTGCTGCAGAGAAACGTAGGAAGCCGCCACAGACGACGCAATATAGCTTCATCAACTCCAATGTCTCAGGAGATGCTCCCACGCCTGATAGCATTCGCCAGATCCGCTCGCATGTCGCGAGGGACATACACGCGCGCGCGCGGCAGAAGCGCATCGACAACCTGCGGGTCAGGTCACTCCCGCCGCGGCCCAGTGACTTTCCACAACGGCACAGTGCGGGCCCAGCAGAGGTGGTGACGAAGATGCGCGGGCACGTATCCCAGGCCGATCCAGTAGAGAAGCGCCCTCTGGGGGAGAAAGATAGGGTGGTTATGCCTGCTGCCTTGCTCCAGTACCCGGTGAGCAATGGGCAGGTGTTTGCGAGAGATATTACCCGGAGTGAGAGATACATGTTGAGCACTTGTATGTTGTCACCATGCTCGCGACGCCTTTCAAAACTTTTGACTGATCAGTTTCACTCAGTCATGATCTATACAGAGAATTGTGAGTAGTTCCGGAATAATACTTTACATGTTGATTTCTAGACAACCTTCTGATATTCCGCCTTCACTGTGAATTATATTGACGAATGGAGACAGATAAGAACGCAATGCAGCGATCGGTCAAGCATAGCAGCGTGTCCACCGAAAACCTAAGACAGAGATGGATCCCCTATTGCATGAGCCAAGAAGGACTCCTAGAAACCTTGTTTCTAAAGGCTGGCAATGCCTTGAGTGAGCTGAGAGGGAACAGCGAGGAGAGGTGGGATCTTGTAGCTTGCCGCTACAGAGAGCGGTGCCTAAAGAAAGCCATCGAGGCGCTAGCACGAGAAAACATGTGTCCTAGCGACAATACCATCGCCCTTGTCATTTCTGTAGGCGCTGATGATGTGAGTATCCTCTGACAAAATGTCTTCCCACTCTTCCGGCATGCGCTGACTCTGTGATATCTTGTATAGTTCATAATGGGGAATATAGACGGATGGTTCCTTCATGGCAGGGCGGCGCTCGAGATGATCAAAAAGAGAGGAGGGCTCCCTGCTCTAATGAAGTGTTTGGATGGTCTTCTGGCTACAATGGTGGCGTGGTCGGTCCTCAACCCTGCATTCAAGCTCGTCGAGGGACCAGAACCCGACTGGTTGTTGCAGGCTGCCTCGAAGACGAATGTCAATAGGCCCCGTTAGTTATTTTCGAGAGCAAATTGCCCGCATGTCTACATGAAGCCCGTCGCCTACACTGGTGTAGGAGATGTCAAAAGAGATACCTACCCTGTCCTCCCAGACGGGTCCTTTTTAGCTGTCATCGTCTCAAAACAGTTGTTGCTGATATTGCATGTGTTGCACCATTTCAACGCTTAATTTAGAATTCGGGTCAAATAATATAGATGCAAATGAGACCTCCAATCTCTGGACATGGGTGAAGTGGATAGCATTTGGCACGCACAAAACGTGACGCTAGCTCTATAATCACCGCCTCGTCGGGAGAGACATTTTTGCCTTCTCCTTCTCGCGAATCTTGGCCCACGCATACACAATACCGCTTACAAAGCCAAAGAAGATAGCCGACACGCTACCAAAGGTAATGGGTGCATCAAAGAACACGAGACCGCTGATGGCAATCGGGAGCTTGTTCAATGCGCCCACCATTGAGTACGTCGTCGAGGAGGTGACGCGCTGACACCAAGTCGAGGCGTACGAGATGAAGATGGCGCCGGCGCCAGAGTAGATCATGCCGATGATGAGGCTGCGTCGCGTATCTTCTGGGAAATTGCGGGCAAAGTTCGCCGCAGACCAATCCTCTGTCAGGAGGGAGCCGAGCACCAGAACCGGAATGCTGAGGAGGTTGCTGTAGTATGTGGCTAAACGTGGAAAGACATTGTCAGTGAGCATTCACCAAGACCTGGGTCTTTTGATGGGCGGCGACATACCATCCCAGTCTCGCGTCTGCAGCTTCTTCATCACTCTGCCCTTGCCCAAAACATACGCAGCCGCACAGAAGACGTTTGCGAACATCCACGCATAACCCGCGTTGAGCGTCTTCAGAGCCGCATCGGTCTCGCTTGGGTGGCTGTCCGCGCCGAGTGTGGCCTGGATATCCGCCCAAGCCGCTACCACCGAGCTAAACACCATGAGGCCGAAGGACAGCAGGACAAGAGGCGTAACCCGACCGCCGGACAGTAGGACTTCTCCGTAAGCGATGACGATGATTGTCAGATTCTTGAATATGGTGAACACGGGCACCGAGAGAAACTGCAACGCCTTTCCGCCAGTATAAATCTGGGCCACGAGGAGAACGGCGATTGGAGACCCTGACCACTGTTAGCCAAGATTGCTGCTCTGCATAGTTCTTCACTTCCACGGTGAGGTACAAGGCGAGACTCACATTGCTTTGCATTATCCACATTGAACTTCTCAAGGCTGAGGAAGCCCAGCTGCTGGCAGACAAGAATTGCAAGTATGCAAACCACAGACTATTAGTTGTACGATGTTAGCCTCTTCTATCACCAGAAAGACGGGTTTGAGGGGGTACAGCTTACTTGGATTGCCAGGTAAAGGAACATGAGATTCCAATCTGAGCCTGATACAACGAACTTGTTGACAACAGTCATCGAGATGGACGCCAAACAGTAACCCAGAATAGACGCGGTCGGATTGTTCGCGAGTGCCGACAATGGGCTAGCCGATTGAGCATTCTGTCGCGACGGGGGAGAATAAGGCGACTGTGGCTTCTGGATATCATCCAGATCGTCCATCTCATGGTCTCCTCCCTCCGGCATGGCAAGGACATAGTCGTCGCTTTTCTTGTGAGGCATGTTGCCAGTTTTGGCACGTGCCACAAAGTTGAATAACTTCTGAAGAAGAAAAAAAAGGCCCGAACGGGATTGCGAGACCTCAATTCCCTGGTTTCACCTCTCGCACACGAATATCGCACGCGTGGGCCGTCAGTGAAATGGTCGAATCTGGGGAATTATCAATCAGGCCAAGTGAGCGTCAGAAAAGGGGCTTTGAAGCGCGTCTCTTGATACGTGTCGGATGACGGATGACAGGCGCTACTAAAAAATTGCGTTTCGTCTTACTTGTGGGCCCGAGGCACAGATAGCTACGTTACTGCGTACAGCAGAGGCAGGCGACCCCCCTAAGATGCGGATCTGCATCCCTGAAGATGCTCAAAGGTTAAAAGTGCGGCCCGATGCGACGTCTCCCCTGGTTACTTGGCAAGGACCTGAGAATATGGCTTCGTTCAGTGATTAGTTAACTGTTCCACACCAGTTCTGGCAGCAACGGAAGGGAAGAATATTATTGGTAAGTCAAAGTCTCTAAGGAGGCAAGAATTAGAGCATCGGTCAAGTAATGATTTGACTGTTGGTTGTCATTGAGACAAGTGTCAACCTGGTTATTTCGCACCCTACCAGTCATGAGATTGATGCTTTAATTATGCAGCACGGACTTCCTCCTTACCCTTTCAGATCCGAAAAAGTCACCTAATTACACGCTTTGCCCGTGCGTAATATATGTTGATTGCTGTATGAATGCTGCATCGACTTGTACTCTAGAAGAGTATCGGATTGGCATCTGATTTCGGAATAAAATACTATCAATCATCAAATTGTAGACAATAAACACTCCCCACTGAAACGTGAGGTGTTCAGTCCAGATGACACCAACTCTGCAAACCAAATTCAACATCACCGCTAGTATAGCAAACAAATCATTGAATTTGTTCGAATGAGTCTTTGTCTCAGCTAGTTCCAACACCAAATCGATGGCAACCGTATTTGGGATTGTACAATTAGCGCGAAAGAAAAATAGTAAAGACCTCTTGGTGCCACTATTCAAGGGCAAATCAGACATTTTCGGGTTCTATGATAGCTTCGTCCTACGTGCAAATGGCGACAAAAATTGCCGTGTGGCAAATGAGTGATTATCTACTCTGTAATCATCCATCCTATACCTAGACTGCATCATGAAAAACTATAGAAACACCTCAGGTTATTGTTGTATTGCTTATCGCAGGGGACGGGCCGCTTCCGTCGTAGCCCTACCAAGGCTCACTGTGCCGAAAGATCGGATGAGGCTAGCATCCAACATTGCACCTCACCTCGCGGCCGTTTTCGACGATTTCTATATAAAGTTGGGGCATGGCTCACTTATGGATGTCGGCATTGTCCAGGGATTTTCTCCATCTGCCTGCAAAATATTGTCACAACCCCGCACCGAGCGCCTTGTCCTGAGCGGTGCTTTTGAACGGCAGTAAATTTACCTTTCCCTCAGCATCACAGGGAACACAACGTGTGTGATACATCGTGCATGGAGCCTCCCTTGCGACCGGAGAAAGTGAAGACGGAGTCTGTCATGACTGTAGCCGACGATGATCTCACAGCCTTGAAGAGTCATGCCAAACAGCCCAACCGAGATCATGTGGCGGGTGTCTGGCCTATATTCTGCGGCGTTTCATTGCTATGCATCCCCATGATCGTGGTTTCTGCGGTCCTGATTGGTATCATCGCCCATTACCAGATCGTTCCGGATCCTGGAATGCCAGAATTTCGCGTTGCATTCTGGAAGTTAGGGCCACACAATGATATCACAACTGACTTCAACGATATTGAGCGAGTTGGGGACGATGCAGCATACTATGTCGACTACCCACCTACAAGCCTTACTACGATCGCAAGTTGGATCGGATACATTGTTCCATACTTGTCAAGCTTCATTATAGCTATGACTGTACTTTTCATTCCTCGGTTTACGAAAATGAGATTTCAGCATAGCAATCCCAACAATTCACCAGTACCAGAACAACAGACAACACTTGATAAACTGCCAGGGAATCACGAATTCGGATCTTTAAAGAATGGTGCTGCATACTACAAATTGAAGAATCAAGAGAAACTAGTAACCCCAGGGCCAGCTATGTTCACCGCTCTGGCACTAATCACGATCCTAGGGTGAGTGTGGCAATGAGAACGTGATTTCCACCATTTCAAAGTCAAACAGTACTGACAGCTCACAAAGCCTTCTGATTGCTCTCGTCAATACGTGGTTCGGCTTGAGTGTTCAAACTGCGACTGTTACCCAGCTTTATCAGGTCTCTGGAGACACATATCACTCTTTCGGTCGTCAGATCGATCGAAGCAACGGAAGCTCTTCGGCCTGCGCTCAAGGACCTATGATTCCAGCTTCTCAAGGAAGCAACCTGCAGAGCTTCGCCTGGCCATGTAACATCGAGATACCTGTTCCATATCCTAGCAACATGTTCCTCACCGGTGGCCAAACAAGGAGAACCGCGCAATCAGGTCTACCGTCCGAGCTACAATCAGAACATGCTATTCTGTACCGTACGGGGCCGGCGACCGAGTCAATCTCACACAGTCCGTCTATGCAATACCCGGTCTATTTCATCGGTGACGACCGGAGCAGCACCAATGAGGACTTCGAGGCATGGTCCATGGGCATAGCAACGCAATGTGAGATCATCACGACTAAATGCTACAAGGGCGAGGAAAATAACGGTACCGCTTTCAAGTGCCCCGGTGGCTTCGAGGGCGATTTCACCATGTGCCAGGCTGGTACATGGCCTACCGGCGGGAGCAAATCTGGACAGGGAGACTGTACCACGGGCATTGGCTTTGCTGCTGATGCTCAGCTCTCCCGCGGTGCAGGTTTCACGAACATGACTGGCAAAGACCACACCAGCACTGACGGGCAAGTCAGTGCCCTCCTGCAGCAGAACCCGATCTACTTTGGGACATGGGCCCAAGGCTTTCCTGCGTGGGACGACCTAAACACCACATTCAAAACAAGAGGGGGAAAGTCAAGCAACGACAAGACGGAGGTCTTCGCTGCGGGTGCCTCGGTTGCGATGTGGCTCTTGAATTGCAGTGCCACCATCTATGACATTGATTATACCTGGGTCAACGGGACACTGCATAACTTTCGAGCCGAGCCAGCTGCTCCAGAATGGGGTGCTTTTTTCTCCGCGCCATATGCCTGGGCCAGTCTTTCTTCAGGTCTGAATACTGCTAAGACGAATCTGCAGTCCGCTGCCTGGGACGCTGCGTACTCTGCCCACAACGCTACGGACTTGGCTAATCACTGGGCCCGGGCTTTCTCATCCTACGCACTGTCGACGTCTCTCGGAGTATTCGTCCCCCAGACCAACATCCTGGAGCAGGGCCGTAATAACGCAGTCAGCGTGACAAGGGTACCGTTGGTCCCATTATATCTGCTCCTCTGCCTGGACTGGCTGTATGTCGTGGTCGTGCTATGTCTGGTGATTGGTGTCTCCTGCTTCACTCACCCGACCGTGAAGCTGGGCCGTCCGGGACCAGCTCAACGTTGGTGGTCTCGTCGTGGCGCACTTTGAGAAGCCAGAGTGCTCGGTCAGAGGGTCCTTAACCTGCAGTCATGATAACTTTGCAGTGACAGCAGAACATGGGGGTGATAGAGGAAGGGACAGCGACCACACCAGGCAAAACTGTGAGAACAGAAGAAATGAGACTGGCCATAGGAGCACAGTCTCCCGAGCAGGCCCCAACAAGGTCCAGCAACTGAGAGCTAGGATCATTGCTGACGTCAGGAAGAAATGGGTGTTCACCCTCCCTGCCTCCTTGTCAATAATCAATCAGCTTTGCTGCGTCCCATCACTACTGACCAGCACCAGGCAGACAGGCAGACAGGCAGACAGGGTAGTTGATAGTGTCACAGAAACCCAACCTGCACCTTCCCTTTGACTCACTATTTCTGGAGCAGAGCTCACCACTAGACCATATTCAGTAGGCGGTCACTGGTGAGAGTACATGGTCCGTGCACATGCAGCTCAGGATATATAAACCTGCGTTCCGCCCCCCCCCCCCCAACTTTGATCGTTTCTTCTCTTTTCCTTTCTTCATACTTACCTTGTCTGAGTCGCAGTAGCTCAAGAATTACTGTGACTAGGTTGGAAAGCCTGCATTGCACAACGTGGAGCTGACCAGTCTGGTTTGTCCTTCGGGGCCGACCTGGGCGCAATTTTTGCTGCCATAACTCAGCTTCAGCTGTCTTTTTTCCTTTTTTTCATTATGCTCATCGCTTTAGGCGTTGACATGAAGAAGAAACCATTTCCTCTTACCCTACCAAGTCCAGATCTTGCCATTGCTAGGACATGACTCTGCTGAATGCACTCCCTTTGCTGTCGGGCAGCCTGAGGAACAGCCCAATTTCAGTCTCAAGTGCTACTGAAAGCTTGTCTCGTACAGATTGAGTGTTAAGTGTACAGGAACCTTGCGCTCTAGGGTAGCTTGCTGATGGCGTCATACCTGCTTGAGTATGGCTGCCCACAGGCTGTACACACCACAGCTCTGGATTGATCGACAACTGTAGCATCAATGTTTAAAAGAAGGTCAGGTTGTAGTGAAGGGGCAAATTGATGTCAATTGGTATTCAAAAAACCAGTGTCGTGATGCCACCGCTGTCACTCTGGCGCGAAGCAGCAAATGGGCATATGCCACCATGAACTAGGTACTTACATAGTAGAGCCGTCCCCTCCTCCTCCACACTGTCAATCAGATCTCAACAACCCCGCCTCTTCAAACCTTACCACATCACAGCTCGCAATCCATTCAGCATCACCAGCAAACATGAGCAAACACGTACTTATTCTCGGCGGCCATGGCAAGATCAGCCAACTCCTCACACCTATCCTCCTCAAGAAGTCATGGACTGTCACAAGCATCATCCGAACGGAGGAGCAGGTCCCCACCATCAAGAAGCTAGGCGAAAGCCTGCAGGGCAAGCTTAATGTACTTGTCCGCAGCATTGAGGAGGTCAAGTCTGAACCCCAGGCCAAGAGCATCCTGGATGAGGTGAAGCCTGACTATGTTGTGTGGAGTGCTGGTGCAGGAGGCCGGGGAGGCGCGGAGAGGGTCTGTATTTACTCGGTCCCCCTAACTTTGATTAGACCACAACACTCTGTCAAAACATGCACAGTCACTGACTATCCCTTCGCGCACTTACAGACCTACGCTATCGACCGTGATGCCGCCATCCACTTCATCCGCGCCTCGGCGGCCTCCCCGTCCATCACCCGTTTCCTCATGGTCTCGTACCTCGCCTCGCGCCGCAACAAGCCCAGCTGGTGGGACGATGCCGCTTGGGCCAACGCTCTTGAGGTCAATAACAAGATCCTGCCCGACTACTACAAGGCCAAGATCGCCGCCGACGAGGTCCTGTACCAGGAGTCCGCCAAGAGGGGCAGCGATTTCGTCGGTATCAACCTGCGGCCCGGCACACTGACAACCGAGCCGGCGGGCGGGGTTGAGCTGGGCAAGACCAAGACCAGCAGGGGTCCGAGCAGCAGGGAGAGTGTTGCTCAGGTCGCTGCGAGCCTGCTCGAGGTGCCGTCTATCAAGAACTGCTGGGTAGATATGCTGGACGGCGAAGAGGAGGTTGAAGCGGCGGTCAAGAAGATTGCTACAGAGGGGGTGGACTGTTGTGAGGGAGAGGACATATACAAGGCGTGACTTTTGGCAAGGATTTAGGGCGCTTGACGACTCTTGGATGTTCAACAAGCCCCACGATAATTTATTGCTGTCTCGGACATCGCCGGCTTCATGGTGTTGCGCCTAAAACACACGGCCGCTCGCTCTGCTTGACAAACAAATTTCTTTGTGACTATCTAGGTCCCTAAAGGTTGGTTTTCCATTCCTTACGACCGCCGGCTCATTTGTTGAAAACAGCCTGGGGCCGAAGGAGGAAGCCGCCATCAACATAAGAAATCCTGCTGGCTCTGCAACCCCGTCTCTCCCCCAGTAGTCCTCATTTAGAATCACATCAGGCTTGACTTGAGGTCGGAGTGGTGCATCCTGGAGAGGCCTGTCGATGCCCACCGCCACGGGCGTCCTCGGACTGGCTTTCGTCAAACCTCTCAGATGCTCGTGCTAGGGCGTTCCGTTAGCCCAACGATCATCAGACAGACACCCATCATCCACCTTCCGCTGACGCACCTCTAGTCTAGCACGGTAATCTTGAAGCTGTGCAGCGCCGCGGTGGAACCGAGCCCGTCCAGCCAGCAGGTATCGTTGTTGGTCAGCGAGCCATACTCGAAGGCACCCGAGCAGTCCGTGGTCTCGTATGCAGCCCAGTGGATGTCCCTGCCGAACATGTTGGCGCCCACGGCCATCTTGTGCGAGTAGAAGGCCCCGTTGGCCGTGTGACACTCGTCGAGTACGCCCAAGCTTGTCGTCTGCAGGACGTTGCAGCACGTGTCGTCACTGTACAGCTTGACGGTCACCGTGTTGGCATCCTTGATGGCGGGCTGGGTCGAGTCACAAGCCTGGGCGGCACCCGCGACAAAGAGTAGGGCAAGGGAGAGCTGAGAGAACATGTTGTAGGCGCTGGGAACGTTTCTTCTTGTTTCTTTGAAGTTGGATGGCTTTGAGAAGAGTGAAGTGAGTATCTGAGGATGATGGACAAGCTTGATCAGGAACCTCGACGGTGGGCAATATCAACCTTTTTATCTTCGAGAGCTACCTTGCTGTCGGCCTCGAATTTCCTCTCCTTTCGATGGACACCCATGGGGCTCACCATGTCGCCGACAGGTTTCGTGACCCCGCCATCAGGGGAAAAGGGCGCTGACTCTTGTCTCTACCATCGTGACAGTCGTTTCGAGAGAGGACCAGAGAGCCACAGCTCGACTTGTTCCCCTCCAAGGTCTTCTCTTCTTTAGTTTTGCTGATGAGCTCGACTAGGACCAAGCCACAGTATCACGGCGATGAGTGATCACCATCCACAAGGAGACTAGACACACCGTGAGACCTTCACCGCTTCGAGACAGCGTGCTGTCAAGCTAAATGAAGTCTACCAAAGGTCTCTACGCTGCGAACACGGGCTAGAACTGAAAATACCATTTGTGATCGATGACAGGGACTGGATGAAGTGACTGCAATGAGCATCAGCTGGGTGGAGCCAGGCGGCTTCATCATGGGGAAGGACCTCGTTCGCCTGAGACCAATAGCGAGAGAAAGAACTGAGAATGATGCTGCATGTGTTGGTTAGGATGCCAAGGCTGAGATTACACATTGCTTTTCTTACACGCATGCCAAGGCAGATGGGTAAAAGCCTTGCTCGCAAGACAGCAGGACGAACGCCTCGAGCCATAACCGTCTACTATTTAGCTGCCGATAGATGAACAAGCAATCGAGGCACGAACGTCTTGATGACCATTGATGCCAAGACTTGGATTACTTATCCATTCATTTGTGGCTTGCAGATAATGGAAACCAGAGTAAGACGTCTATATCATGCGACAGCAGGATTGGAAACTGTGTTAATTTAGCTTCGTTCAATTGTTCGATCGGGGGGTTTATGATTGGTCTTATGTAGACTCAGGGTCCTGAAAGTAACGCCGAAGAGGTCGTCTAGTAGTATTCAAGAGAGTGAGCTCACTAGAGTCTAACCGGCATGGAACACAAGACTTTGGCCCTTCTCTCAAGGTTGAAAGCCACTGGATTTTATGGCTTGGCCATATCCTCCGACTGGGACGCTTACTATGTAGCAAGGACACCATCAAGAATCATGCATGGAATTATTGCCTATGCGGAATCGGTTCCGTAGAAGCAGTTCCTTCAGAAGAACAACATGGGAAGAGGTTGAAGGAACTCTGAAGGGTATCTTTCATTGTAAGTCAACGCTATGCTGTTCCAGATCTAAACTCGCCCATCCTCTATGGCTATTCGTGGCTTCATCACCAGTGTATTAATAATTAAGGGTCTTCTTTTTGTCTAGTCAAGACGACTTGAGGACGATTCACCCGGGTCCGCGACATGAGGCGCAGGTGCCGAGGTCTCAGCAGCCCGTGACGCCTCATGTTCCTCTGCGCCTTCACCGGCCGCCTCCGCCGTCGTTCGTCCTTCCTCAGAAACAGGCGGTAAAGGCGCAGCCTGCTCTGGAGCCTTCCCCTTGTCCACAGTGGGAGCTGCTGCTGCTGCTTGAGGGGCTTGTGCCATCTCAGGAGCGGCTGCAGGAGCAGCGTGGGCGGGCGACATGAAGACAGTAGCCTCGCCGCTGTTAGCCCCCGACTCGGCGTCATTCTTGGCAGCCATCTTCTTGTTGCTGCGGTGTCTCCAGATGAAGAAGATGGCAAGTCCCAGGGCAAGACAAGCAGCGGCGATGCCGATGCTCATACCGATCAGGGCACCGAACGGCAGCACACTCGAGAGGCCTGCTGTTTCGTTACTGCTTCCATCCTCAGACCCCGGGCCATAGGTAGTACCCGTGCCGCTGCCCGAATCGGCATAACACTCGGAGTAGGAGCAGAAAAGCGTCGACGATGGCACGGTGGCGCCGTAGCTCGTGAACGGGACGATGTTGCTTGTTGCGGTGGCGTCAAACTTGACCGGTGCGATGGCCACCTCGTTGTTGACGAGGTCGAAGACGCTGTAGGTGCGTCGCAGTAACGTGCTGCCCAGGGTGTAGGACGAGGCGGTGTAGTTTTGCACGCCAAAGAGGCACAAGTTGGTCGTGTCGGTTTCGTCCTCATCCTCGTCGTAATAGGTGTACTCGGCTATTAACGCTGTAACATTCACGTCGGTCTCGGGAATCACGAGATCGGACATGTATGTGGTGATGATGGGACCCAGACTTCCCTCGCCGCCGAGCTGCAGGGTAAAGTTGGTCGTGGTGTCGCTCGAGGCATCGCACGAGATGACGGCCATCTCGAGCACCGAGTGGAAATAAGCTCCAGACATGGACCAGATCTGCGTGGCAATGGTGGTGGGAAGGGTCGAGACGGTATCTGGCGGGCTGTAGATGGCTGTGAACAGATATTCGTCACTGTAGTAAGTTCCTGACGAATCTGAATCGTCGTCGTCCTGATCGTCTGTGATCGCGATCGGGCCGCCGCTGGTGCTTGTCGACCCGTTGATGCCGATGACCTGGATCATCATCATGTAATACGAGTATTCCGACTGCAGCCGCGTCAGGTTGCCATCGAACTTGGTCGTATCGATGGCTCCAAAGAGCAGGTTCCCCGAGCTCGCGGTCTCGTCGTCCACCCAGATCGAGTACGCGGTGCTGTTGATGAGGCCTTCTTCCTGGAGGCGGTTGGGGAGGTTGTCGTACGAGCTGTCATTGTAACCGATGCCGAGGACGCCGATATATGTCGATGTGAACATGCCGCCATAGGTATAGTTCACCAGCCCCATGGTCAAGTTAGACACGCTCATCCCACCAACGGTGAGGACATCGCTGATGTATTCGCCCTCTGCATAGGAGCCTTCATTGGTACTTCCGGAGAAGGAACCATCGTCATAATAATAGTCGTCGTCGTCACCTGTGTCGATGAGGGTGTAGGTACTTGAGTTGCCAGGGGAGACTTGTTCGGGGCTAGTCAGCTTATTGATTACATTGACATGAATGTGACAACATGATGCGTCGTGAGACAGAATTTTCTTCAAAGAGCAATAACCAAAGAAGTCGACTTACAAGTGCCCCATAAGCAATTGTTGACGGTGACATAGTCATAATCATCTTCTCCCTCCCCAGTGCTCACATACTCCGAATACGTGCAATATCCCGAGCGCTCGTCGATGACCCATGTGTCCGAGGCAGATGGCGAGAGCTGCAGTGAAACAGGTTGGCCAGGGGTGCCCACAGTCACATTCACGACATAAGTCGAGTCGTGATACGAGAGGCTCGAGCTGACCGATCGAGGTTTGGAGCCAGCGGCACTCCTGATCCCACCGATCTTCTGCTTAGAAAAAGGGAAGTGAACAGCAGCATTCGCAAAATGAAGAGAGGCGCAGATGAGCGCTAAACGAACGGACGTCCTCATAGCGAGGAATTGGAGAACAAAACCCCAGTCAATACTGAGAAGAAGCAAAAACCCGGCGACGAACAAATAATTAAGAAAGACGTTATTACTGTGCAAACCGGATCGCGAAAATCAGAGGGGCAGAAACTGCCAGAGAAATAAAGTCAAGTTCCGTCATCTTATCCTTTTTGAACTATTGACTACGAAGATAGTGACAGACAGGTAAAAGGGGTCCTTCCAATTTCGAGGATTTTTTTCTGTCTTGCTTATTTTTTCCCCCAAAAGAGGGTCATCCGGGATCGTGAACCTGGTCGCACCCGGTGGCTTGGTGGCCTTCCTTGGATGTTATGCGCCTTGGGCCATTCCTCTTACGGCCGCATGCCAAGGATTTAATCTTTTAAGCTTGATGATAATAGGCTCAAACACCCTCTAGCGAGATGAATAAGCCTAGCTGGCACCTGGTAATCTGTGCGGCTCCAAGGCTAACGTGGGAGTCCCAGGGCCCCCCTGACTCTATTCACAGTACAGAGCGAGCGAGTGCGACTAGAGCGCTCTTTGGGGGCCGCTAGCACAGGCAACCGCTACATGACACGAGGAGCGGAACTCGGGAGGACGAGTGCCAGCCTCGGCGGTTGACCGTACCATAGTAGCAGTGCTGGCTGCAACGGGCCAGACTAGAAAAGAGAGAAAGCGAGCCTGGGCAATATGACCCTGCAAAATGATACCTCGTAGGAAGGATTGCGGCGGTACTCGGGCGTGGGGAGAAGTGAACTTTTGGCCTCTTTCTGGACAAGCCGATGCGACTCTGTCTTACAGCATGATTGACTCATAACCATAATGGTACGATGCCAAGTCTCTGGTCTTGTTCTCGTAGCGACCTGATATCGTCCTACAAGGTCAACAACGGTCACAAGATAGATGGTTTAGAAATTGGTGTGCATACCTGCCAAAATACCACTCTGTTGATTTTCTCTGAAAAAGAGCTCGGCATATGGATCGGTATATATATTCTATTTCAGTCGATTTGAGTCCTGACCTCATTCCATGCACACAGGACACATTCGCAGAGCTGCGGTGCTGTGATTGAAAATCGAAGACTTGTGTGATTCTCCTATCCAGAACGCCCCTCCCCGGCCCCTGCATTGGCTTACTAAAAGAGAGTGAGAGCCAGGCTGGGTCCTCCCATGTTAAAAGAAAGGGTGGTAGTCTATATCATCATGACGAGCGCTTGCGAAGAGACTCCACTGTTTTCCAGACAGCTACTAGATAATAGTATTGCGAGTCTGTAGCCATGATCATTGTTAGAAGACCCCTAATGGATATATCCCAGAGTAATTGATTTGGGTGATTTTTGCACCTACGAGAATCGATGGCTTTGTTCCCTACTTCATCGCCATATGCATCACTAGAGCCCTGATTTCTATTCCCGGGGTAGCCTTTCTTGGCTTGACAGGCCTGCACTCCCTTTCCTTTTTGTTATGAGAGGTTGCCTCATTAGGTATTGTCATTTTGTAGTCCTAAGTTCTTGTCAGGTCTTGGATAATAAATTGACACTTGACGGGATGTCAGAAGGTGGACCTCACCTCTCTTCCGATAGCTGACAAAACTCGACGAAGGGAGCTATGACTGCGAGAATAGTCTTTGGGGTTAGAATAGGGCAGCCCAGCTTGCGCTGGTTGCACTGCACCCGTTTCTGATGATGACACAGGGGGAGACATGTTTGCAAGTCTCAAACTTCTTGTCTGCAGAAGAAGGGGAAAGCACAGTAGTAGATGGAAACTAGAAATGGTTTGATACCGTGGTTGTCCAGGCACAGGCAGCAGCTACGAGTAGGGTGGGAGTGATGACTTAAATAGAGGAGGGAGGCGATAGCTATTGTTTGAAAGGCTCAATGGCATTACTTCACCATGGTAGGGTTTATGGTTGAGTCGGAGTACTTACGACCGTTGATCGAGAACCTCGACAAGCAGTGCGAGGCGGACTAACAAAGGGATCATAAAGATGGTTAGCACTTCAGAAGGCGGCCATCCTCGGACTAAACCAGCCAATCCGGACCAGCAACTAGTGAATCTGCGGGACCCAGATTTAGTCCGACCACGGAGTAAAGTAGTCCGCTTACGCCGCGCAAGCAAGTATGATGATGTCTTGTGCACGTCGTCGTCTTCCTATCGATGTTTTGCCTTGTTCAGATCTAAAAGCCTCTCCAAATCGTGTCAGATTGACCCGAAATCCGTCTGTATTTGGCCACTTAGCACTACAACACAAGCCGCACCAGGTCAAAGTACTCACACGCCGCCAAATTGTGGAGTGATTTTGGTCCTGGGGGGATGTCGACCACCGAGCGCCGCCGTAACGGCTCAGAGGCATCCTGTGAGCCTTGCCGCAAAAGGAAGCAGAAGTGTGGACACGAGCAGCCAGTATGTATGGCCTGTCGCCGCCGAAAGCTCGAATCCCGCTGCTGGTACCACCCTGCGCCTCTCTCGAAGCCACGAGGCAACAATACACACTCCAGGCGTGCCGTTCCATTTAGTCCGACCCCTTCTGGGAAGTCTGGGGGCGGGCACGGACATGAGCCCGCAGGCCCTGTGAGATCTCGTCTTGGAGGTATTCTCGCCGGCACTGGCGCGCCAGAGAGAGCCTTGAGGATCCACACGCTGCCTTTCTTGACAATTGACTTTCATGGGTGCCCGCCACAGGCTGTCGTGCCAGGCATTACCAATCGGGACGCAGAGGCCTCCAGGGAACAACTCAATGCCACGGAAGAGATTCTGTCTCACTTCAAGCATATCGCGAGGATCGAAAAACTTGTCGAGGATGGCATCTTGTTCAGAGAAATCGCCGTCGTCCCGCCTCCCGTTGTTCGGCGGTTCTTAGCCTCTATCAAGAGCATAGCTGCGGCTGCAGGATACGGTGGTCATATTAATATTGATGATAACAATAATAATAGTGAGGCCGCCAACGGAAACAGCAGCACCCTCAGTGTATCACAGCTTGCCAGGAATGTGATAGAAGCCTCATCGTCGGTAATCAATATCACACCACGCCTCGACGGAGAGGCCTTCTGTGCGCTCTTCTGCGGGGCGAACCTTCGTGTGGAAGCGTTGGGTGTGGCAGTGGCCATAGGGGCCTTAGGTGAATGAGGCCTGGGTGGCCACCCTGACTCACTGGCCTGGGCCATTCAATGGAAAGGCAGTGAGTCGCCAGGTACGCTAGCTCAGTTGGGACTAGTGCTAATTGCCTTCTATATAGAAGGCAATTGGCAAGCGTGCCTTGAGATAGATTAATTGAAGAATCATCTTCCCTTCTACCATTTGTACAGTCCCTAGAGTGCCTTCTACAAGTGGTAGCTACGATCATACACTGCATTGAGGATTCACCCCACGAAGCCACTGCGCTGATACGCCCATCTGGGAAATCAGCGGCCTTGGCAACCCAAAAACACCAAAAGCCTACTATCGTAAAGATTGTGGCACCAAAACAACAAGCTCTTGGCACCATGCTCACCTGAGACTGTGCTACGGACTTTCCTGATGCGTTACGCTTACCTGAGACCTCGCAAACAGGCGTTTTCATCAAAAACACTACAAAAAACCATCAAAAACACGCCCACGGGCATTCACAAGCATTTACAGCTAAGCTGTTTTTTCCTTTTACCCCATCGCTGGTGGAAGCCCTGGCAGTTGAAATCAGCAAGCATACTCTGATCCTCGCAAGCACCATAGACATCCTCGCGCAGACGCCACGAGTTATCCTGATTATAGTATGCTTGCCTGAGAAGCCTAAACCATTCCCTAGCCTTCATATCCATCTGTTGCTTATTGCTAATTAGCTTGATTAACAGCGATTTACTATTGATTTTAATCCTAGCAAGACAATCAGACAAGCTGAGCTAACTATAAGCAGTTTCTCAAAGAATCTAACTCAACCATCTATCCACTATGCTACTACAGCTGATCTAGCTGCTAGTCTAGCAATACAGCTAGGCAAAGATCCCAAACTTCTTCATGAATGCTCGATGAGTGAAGATGCAATAGCCTCTTGAGAAGAAGAAACTGCTAGTCAGAACAATCTGTTCCAGGCGGAAGACTATTATAGCAACAGCTTAGCACTGTTCGAGTTCCCTGCTGTGCAATGCAAGACTAGCACCCTCTAACATGAGAATTCTAAAGAACTAGCTAACTTCTTAAACAACTCTGCTTTCAAGGAATATATTCATTATATTAAGATGCAGGCTAATAATGCTAAGATAGCTGCAATCTATGCAAACCTGGAAATCAGAAAGATCTTGGAGGCTGTAGCGCATCTTGAGACTCAGCAAGCTACGATAGCTATCAAACAAGGAGCTCTCAATACTCAAGTTGGTAAATAAACTGATATGCTAGCTCAGCTAATGCATTACTTTAAGCTTAGCTCTGAAGCTACTGCTTCAGATATTTGCTTTCAGGCTAGCAATGATAATCTATTCCCTGCTATATCTAGCTCTTCATAAGGTTTAGCAGCTTTTCAATGAGCTATCTACTATAGTGCTGAAGAAGGTAATCCTAATAATTTGGGTAACAACTCCGATAACTAAGGAAGCAGTAATAGAAGCTGTTGTTCTTCTAACAAGCTTCTAGAATCTGAATCAGGCAACCCCTATAACCAGCGCAATGATACTCTGTTCTCTAACTGATCAAGCATTCAGCATATTACGAAAATAAAGAAAGAAGAATTTAAAGTCTTCAATCCTGAATACAACAACTCCGAAGATATTAGCATAATTACAGTTAGCAAGAATCTCATTTTTACTAATGTTTGGTTTTTTCTAAACTATCTTGAGTTTTTCAAAAACAGCATGAATAATGCTAATATCGAGAATGAGATATTGCATATATTTAGCATCTTATTATAAGATGCTGCTATTTACTGATAAACTAATAAGTTAATTAATACTAAGTGCATTAAGCTTTATTGAAGAGAATATAGCATTATTACCAATCTTCTAGCTCAGCAATTCGCTATAAAACCTATATATACTATGCAAAAATTCTGCAAAAGCTACTTAACCTTAAGAAATATTGCTAAGAATAAGTTTGCTCTGCAAAAGTTCATCCAGAAGAACTTCCAATATGCATGCAATATAAGCATTCTTAATTGCAAGAATCTTAACTGAAAGAGCGTTTTGAATAATATCTGGAGCAAGATGAATAAATACATTTAGCACTACCTTGCTTTTCCTCATTGCTACAATACTCTGAATGAGTATATGGAGAAGTGTTATGACTCATTCAACATGCAGGTTACAGAACAGGTCATGAATAACAGGGACCAGGTGTTAAGGATGCAACATTCTGACAAAGCACTGATTACATAATCCAGGGTTAGGGTTATGAGTACAGCTAATCAGGAAGGATAGCTTCGGATATGTGCTATTCAGAGCTAGCAGAATAATTTGGATATATTGCTATCTAATATATCTATACTGAAGAGCTGAATATATAAGAATATATTCATTTCCATTAGATAGATTCAGTACATAGCTCTTTAGTTATCAATCTAAGTATCAGATTACTCTCTACTCTGATAGCTCCAAAAGCAGTGAATACTTGCATTGCTTATTAAGACTTATACAGTTCCGTATTCAAGAACTTAGCATTTTAACACTGCTCTTGTTAGTATAAATCCCCTTTATATACTTTGGAATCTTCGGATTGCTGCAATGCTTATTACATTTTGATAACTCTTATTCAAGAACAATTCAGTGTTATCTCTTGAGCAATACGGAATACAATAGCTCCTCCAGGAACTCCTTCATCCTCGCACGCCCCTACTCAGGAAGAACTGATCAACCAGATGTACTAGCTTACTCAGCGTATCCAGGACCTGCGCGAACAACAGCAGGCTTAAAGCGCTACTATCGCCAACCAACAGGCTCAGTTAGCCTAGCAGGCTTAACAGGCTCAGCTAGCTCAGCAGGCTCAACAGGCGCAGTCCACCTCTATAGTCACCAATAGTGCTGGAAAAGCGTACAAGATGAACAAGCTTGCCATATATGATAGCAACCAGAAAACGTTGCATGGATTCCTTATTCACTGCAGAGCGTATTTCCTGTATCACAAGACTCAGTTTACTAAGGAATCTAAGAAAGTTATTCTTATAGAAACTCATCTCGAAAAGAATGCTTTCATTTGATATAAGCTTTCTCTATACAATCATTTGGAGCATTAGAACAATCCTAATGCATGCATTCAGAATACCAAGAATATATTTGATTTCTTTAAAAGCTTCGAGAAAGCTTTCAAAGAGATCTTTGATAACTCCAACGAAGAGCATATTATAGCTTAGCAGCTCATAAATCTTAGACAGACCAAGTTAGCTTCTGCTTATACAGTTAGATTCAAGCAACTCTCAGCACAACTCTCATGAGAAGACAAAAACCTTATAAAGCATTATTATAAGAAACTTAAGAATAAAATTAAGAACGAAATCTCTAAGCAGGATTAGCCGGAAGACTTTGCAACGTTCTCAAATCAAGCAATTCGCATTAATAACTATCTATACGAACGATAAATGGAGAAATCCAAGAAAGAAAGTAGCTAGACTTGAAGATTTCCAGCTAATACAAGCAAGAAACTCCAAAACAAGAATAGCAATCATTATAGCAGCACAGCCTAGAGCAGCACTATGCATATCAGCCTCATAGAACTCAATGCTGCTAACAAGCAGTATAGCAAAAGGAACAATATTACTTATTACAATTGCAACAAACAAGAATACATTGCATATAACTGCTATTAATTCTAAAGAAACAAATAGCAATCAGTTTAGAAAGAATGCTAGATGAATATTGCTTAATAACAGGAATCCAATCAACTGAGCAAAAACACTTTCTCGGAGCAAGTATTGAACTCTGTTAATTACAGAAGTCTCAGCTGAACATTCTGCTACAATAATAACTGCTTAATACATCTCTCAAATAAGAAAGATTCAGAATAGTTTCCTTAGAAATCTAAGCGCTACAAGCAGATAGCAATAGCAGAGCAAAAGTATATACTCAGCATGACTATGAGCAGCAGCAACTCGAACTGCTCTAACATTGCAGAACAGAGCATTCAAGCATTAGAAAAAGGATTTAGTAGCAATACTCTTCAACATTCTTCATCACTTATGCTAAGCACTATGATCAGAGATATGAATAAGGGATGATATCTTTTTAGCTACTGATATGAATATCTAAGCAATACAGAGAACATCTCTCAAGCAACAGAAGAATTAAGCCAGAGCAAATAACCTAGCAGCTTGCAGAAGCTTTCTGCAAACAATATGCCCAACAAGCTTAAAGGAAGATTTCTCTTCAGCATTGAATAGAATAAAGAAATAATATAAATTGAATATCTCGTTTATGAGATAGAGCTAGAGAAGCTCTTTATCTGCATTCCCTTGCAGAATATCGAAGCATAAGAAGATAAGAATTCTCGGATCAGCTTACTTTACAATCTATACTACGAACTGGCTTGGATCTTCTGCACTTATTATAGCTGCAAAACGCATTTCTCGGAGAAGATGCAATATGAATAGTTCTCCATTAGAGAATCAGAACAAATCCTTCAAGCTATTAAAGAACAGAAACTCCACTTCAGAAAGATTCTCAATAAACAATACTACAATGCATACATTAAGCTACTAGATGATTGCTCTATGCAATATATAGATAAAAAGATAGAGTAATAGCAGTATAAGATGATACTCTATATGATTTACATTAATAATAAAGTTTGCAACTAGCATTAACAAAAGAAAGATTAGGAATAATAATAATACAAGCAAAAGTAAGCTAAGAAGCTTGCTTAAGAAGCAGCAAAGCAGACTCAGAAGAACAAGCAGTTCTCAACAAACTCAAAAGAACAGGATTGCTTATAAAGAAACTGCAGACAATCAGATCAGAACAGTTCCTATATGAAGCTTCTAGAACAGATTATGCTTATATCAAGTTCGATATACACATTCAAGAATACAAATACAGCGCACTACTGAACAGTGGTGCTCAGGGAAGCTTCATATTCCTACATATCATCAATCAAGCACAATTACAATAGAGATAAAAGAAATGCTTATACATTCTCAGCACTATAAAAGAACAATTTATTGCATACAACCAAGA